ATTAACAATAGATTGACATGTAAATGTCTGGTCTGGAGCCCTGTGTTTTCCAAAGATTACCAGAATTATGTGTAGTTGGTAAGTTCTAGGGAACTTAACTAGTGAGTGACAACTTTCTTTTGTTTCTCTACATATTTGACTAATTCTCAGCAAATGAACGTGTTTTTCCAATTAATTTATTTCTGTAGTTGGTTTTGGAATTACGGTGTGCTATTACTGTGATTATTATTTGTATTGTCAGAGATCACAGGTTATATACACTGCAAATTCTGACTGTATTTTATTTAAGTTTACCACAAATGTACATTGTGTACATTTATATTATACCTAGGGGTTTGAGACTTACTTATTTTGTTCACTTTTCCTTCCTGCCTTTATAATCCAACAGGTGCATATACCATGCATGATAAGGATCCCTAAAAAAGCTTTGTAGTTTCCATTAAATTTTGTGATTTGTTTCCATTTTTTTTTTTCACTCGTGGAACTTCAGAGACTGCTTGTTTATCCAGAAAGTATTTAGTTTAATCTTCATTTTTTAACAGTCCTTGGACAAATCTGAAATTCTTTAAATTTTTAATATAATTTTTTAAATATAATTTTTAATCTGGTTAAAAGGATTCTTCAGATTCTAAGCATTGTTTGGAGGGGATAACGTGTGTGTTCCCATTAGTCAACAGATAGAGGATCTGACCTTCAGACACTATTCTTTTCAAATATAGAAATTTTTATTTGAAGTTTTTTGCATCTCTGTTGTATTTTTATCCAGCCTTGCTAAGTTGGCTGAGCTTGCTTGGCTGTCTCACTCAGGATGTTAGCGTGTGTTCTTTTTCTCACACTCTCATATTCTCCCTGTTACTTGTAATGCTGCAGTTCAGGAATAGGTTTTATTTTCACATCATTCTTGTACTTTTATCTGTTCTAATATTGCTGTCATAAACTATGATTAAATAGGAAGGGTGTCTATTCCAGATTGTGCAGAACCAGGTGACTGAGCAGAAGTTGTTTTTCTCTGAATTAATTCTGCTGTGAACTGAGTCTACTAAAAAATAAGAATGTCATTTAAAAAAATTATTATGCTTTTGTCAGGTTTTCATATTTACCACTCAAAATTTGTTCTAAGGTCTGTGCATTTGGTTTGTAGTGTGAGTTATTCACATTGGTTAGTGAAAAGAATTCCTTTATCCCTAACATATCAATCGTAGTTGATGTAATGCGAAGACTCTGGAAAGCAATAGTCATTATAAGATGCTTGTATAAATATTCCTTCCAAAATGAATGATCAGGAAAAGTTTTGAGAAGTTTTGCCTGTTTTTATATAAATAGGCATTCTAATTTTCCTCGTCTCACTGTGTTTTTTCCTTGTTTATTTTTTAAAAGAATGTGTACAAAGCAGACTTTAATAACTGGCTGAGAGGAGTCGGCTGGATCCCAATTCAGTCACTGGATGTAGAAAAGGCCAAAAAAGCTACAGAGATTCTCAGTGAGAAGAAATATCGGCAACACCCAGACAAGCTGAAGTTTTCTATTACCATGGATGCAATGGAACAAGTTCTTGCTAAGCAAAATGCCAAGACCATGAATAAGGTAAGAAATCTGTTCAGATGATCATTACTGAGCCAGAGATTGGGTCTTTGTCTGGCAAAATCATGGGATGGCTGCATTCCAATCGAAGTTATCAGAATTTCAAATGGGTGCAGTGGTTTGCTTGGATAAGACTGGACACTAAGTCCAGACACTAAGAGAGGATGGAAGCCTCAGGATGTGTTCATAATCAAGGGAGTTATCAGAATTTCAAATGGGTGCAGTGGTTTTCTTGGTTAAGACTGGACACTAAGAGAGGATGGAAGCCTCAGGCTGTGTTCATAATCAAGGGAGTTTCATTTTCAGTTTATAAAGATTAAAGATTTCTCTTTTGTGTGTGTTATTAAAGAGGTCTTCCTCAGATTTATAGTGCTTTGGTAACCTTTGCTGTTTTTCTGCAGGAAGTAGTATTCATGATCAGTGAGATGAAAAAAACCTGTAATTCTGTCCGTTTTGTACAAGTTTCCTTGAAAAGTGGAGCTATTTAAATTTATCCCTAGTTATCTGGGACACCACTGATCCATATTCCATGTTTGCCATGGAAAGCGGGTGGAAAAAAAAGTGTTTGTGCTTTGATTTAAGGGAGGGAAGAATGCAGACTGAAGATTTTCAGTTTCAATATTTATTAGCTCTCAAAACATACTTTAAAAATTTCTCAAAGTACTAAAGAGGAGGGATATGATATTGCCACTTGGCAGTTATATTTATGAAGATTATTGGTAGAGCTTGTGCAACTTCACTGTACTGTAAAATACCATTTATTGCAAATAAAAGCAAGGTCTTATATTGTGAATACCTTTTCAATGGTAAATATAACTTTTTAATTGCAGAGGCTCTACACTGATAAATGGAACAAGGAGAAGACCAGCATTCATGTTATGCCAGACACTCCAGAAATTCTGCAGTCTAGAGTGAACCAGATCACCATGAGTAATGTGAGTCACCACACTCACAGCTGACATTCCGTGTCTGTTGCGTAGAACAAAAATTGGTGTCATTTTTGTGTCTTTTTTGAAAATATTTAAATTCAGGTGTAGGGTGCTTCAGTCGTTCTGCCTTCATAATTCCTGTTCTCTTTTACATTTTGAATTAGAAACTGTACAAAGCTGGCTGGGAGGAAGACAAGAAGAAGGGCTATGACCTGAAGCCAGATGCAATGCCAATAAAAGCAGCCAAAGCCTCCAGAGACATTGCAAGTGATGTAAGTTTAATTGTGTGATAGTTTGCAGAGTAGCTACAAAGTCAAGCAGAATGTTTTAAAGTGTCCTGTTATGTGCTAATGTGTTTTTTCAAGCATCCTGACTTGTCTAGGTTTCAGTTAGATGCTTGATGGGATAAACCTTTCCAGTGGAATTACACTGAATTGTGCTTTTTTGCTCTTTGTTCAGCAAACTGCTGAGCTTCATTTGCCTGTGTTTGATAGGCTGTTTTGTAAGACTGAGTATGTTTAAATGACTAAACCTGAGATCTTGTGATTAAAAAAAGAACGAGTATTTTCTGTTTTCAGAGATAAAATTAAACTTAACGCTGCATTTTTTTTATTTATTTTTTTGCTGTTCTTTCTCTTTCCTGCTGTCAGTATAAATACAAACTAGCCTACGAAAAAGATAAAGGAAAGCATATTGGGTTCCGCAGCCTTGAAGACGACCCCAAGCTGGTGCACTTCATGCAGGTGGCTAAAATGCAGTCTGATCGTGAATATAAAAAAGATTATGAGAAGGCAAAGACCAATTTCCACACTCCAGTTGACATGTTCAGTGTTGTGGCAGCCAAGAAAGCCCAGGAAGTGGTTACAAATACAAACTACAAGAGCCTGATCCATACCTACAATGTTTTGCCTGATGCTATGAGTCTTGAATTAGCCAAAAACATGATGCAGATACAAAGTGATGTAAGTGAGAGATTCTCCCGTCTTTGCATTGTGAATACAACAATACTTAGTTTATGAAAGCATATTGTAAGATAAATAGTACTGTTTTCTTAGTGAAATTAGTTCAGCTATATACTACAATGTAGTAAATGAAATGAGACTTGCAGCAATGATAGCTATTGTTTTTTTCGAAGACTCTGAAATATTAAATTGCTAAAGAATTTGGGCTGAGAAATAAGTAATTTTATGTATAAAGTAAAATGGTTATTTCCTGTTTACACACCCCATCAGGCCCTTCAAGAGCAATACTTGTGTGCAGCCAAGACAGGAAAAGCTTCACTTTTCATTAATGGTTTTATCTTCTACTTCCAAAAAGATATCTTTTTGGAAGAAGGGGAAACCAACAAAGTAGCTAATTCTCAGATTTTCTGGAACGTTTAACCTTTAGAGAAGAGGGCCTTTTGTTCTCAGTAGAGCAGTTCAAGAGGGCCTTAGCATGTAATCTCATGTGAGCAATCTGTATACATCATAAGGAGGACCTGAATGCTGCGTAAAAGACAGAGTAATAAAATAGACACCACAGTAAAAATATATATTTCTAAATAAACCTTGAATGTATCTTGATACTGTTTTCCTTTTTTTGGAATAAGTGCATTCAAAATCTACTTTTCATTAAACACAGAAAGAAGTGTCATGATTTCTGGACTTTTTCATACATCTGATTATTTTCTTTTCTTTCTCCTTTCAGAATCAGTACAGAGCAGAATATGATGAAAGTATGAAGGGTGTTGGGTGGATTCCACTGGGCTCCCTGGAAGCTGAGAAGAACAAAAAAGCAATGGAAATTATTAGTGAGAAGAAGTATCGCCAGCATCCAGACAAGCTGAAGTATTCTGTTCCCATGGATTCCATGAACATGGTCTTAGCTTTAAATAATGCTAAAATCATGGATGAGGTAAGAAAGTGTTCATCCAAATTCATTTAAGTTTGCAGAAGTAAGAAGCAAACTATACCTGATGTAGACACCAGTTCTGTTGTATGCATAGCTTTGGAAACTGTTGATTTTGGCAGCTAATGACTATGCCAGGATGTCATTGTATTTCTTCTTAATACACCTTTGCTGTAGCTGAAAACAAAGCGTGACCCTAGTATTTCTAAGAAATATGTATAAAGACAGTCCTGGGGGTCAGATTTTATTCATACAGTTCATCCAACATGACTGTGTAGACTTCTAACAGTTTAAATCTCTGCGGCTAGAAATATGGGAGTGATCTCTTTCAGAAATAGGATTTAAACTTCTAAATGTATCATCTGTTTCATCTGATTCCTGTTACATTAATATGAAATTGCTACATGATATGAATGTTTTTATAATGCTTTTTAATAGTCGTTTATATGAGATGTTGGGTGATATGGTGTAGGGGAGAACTTTGTAGAGTAGGGTTGACGGTTGGACTCGATGATCTTAAGGGTCTTTTCCAACCTGAATTATTCTATGATAATGAGATATTTGTTTTCTGACTCTCCTTCTGAACTGCTATAATCCATTGGTGTTCTTTAGAAATGTCTAGACTTCATCTGCATCGTAGTTACAGGGACCATCAGAATCTTATGTGCACTTTCCTCAGCTCTATTTCCTCTAAGAAAAAGCTCTGTTGGTCTCTCAACTGATACTTATTTTCTAGGAGATGAACTTCCACCTCTAACAATTTTTTCCTTATACCTTCTGACTTGGCTTTTAGTTGTGGGTTACCCCCCGCAGGCAGTTAAGCACCACACGGCCACTTGCTCCCTTCCTCCCTTTCCCCCTGGTTGAGGTGGGGGAAGAGGAAATGGAGAGAAACAAGAAAACTTGTGGGCCAGGATAAAACATGTTTAATAAGCAAAAGTGAAGTAGAAGAAGAGAGAAAGGAAACAGGAAAAAAAACCCTAAGTGATGTGAAAGCACTCACTCACTACCTCCCACAGGTAGCCTGATGCCCAGACAGCTCCCGAGCAAAAGATGTGTGACCTCCTAAGCCCTCTTTTCACCCTTTTTATTTGCTGAACATGACAGTTTATGGCATATATATTTGGTTACCTGAGTTTATCCACCTGGTTATGTCCCTTCCCAACCCTCCAGTCTATTCGCTATGGGGACAGAGAGAAACAGAGGTGGCCTTGATACCATGCAGACACTGTTCAGCAACAGCTCAAGCAGTAGTGTGTTTTAGTCCCAAATCTAAATCAGCATTGTTTGAGCTGCTATGAAGAGGGTTAACTCCACTCCAGCCAGACCCAGTACATTTTGAAACCTATTATTTTGTGCTGTTGAATGTGCTTGAATACACTGCTGGGCAAGAGATGAGCAATAAAAATATTCCTTCCACTTTTATTTCAGCCTCACACAATCAACTTCATAAGAGATATTCCTGCTTCACACTGCTTTTAAGAGCCAACATAAAAAGTCAAATGCTCCCATCATGTTAGTGGTTGCATCATTGTAATGAAAGCTTATATTCCAAATGGGAAATATTCTTTTAAATGGTTTTATTCAATTTCTTTTTGTTATGTTGACATCTCTTCCAGCACAAGTACAAAGAAGCATGGGAAGAAGACAAAAAGAAAGTCCACATCACACCAGATATTCCACAGATTGCTTTAGCAAAAGTTAATGCATTTAATCTAAGTGATGTGAGTACTCTTTGTAAGAATAAGACTTTTTTTTTTTTTTTTATTAGAAATAAGTGAGATGACAGCATATGAAAGTCTCCTAATTCTCACTTTGCTAACCTGGAGGAATTTCATAAAAAGCTATTAATTTTCCTTTTCCCAGCTTTCTTCCCCAAAACTAAATACCACAAGTTGCCAAGAAAAAGCCATACTATTTATAGTCAGATTATGAAGTGTTCGTGTAGCCATTAAAATATTATAGTTACTAGCAAAATGGTAGAATTTGAGTACTATCCACTGCTGTATTTCTCCATGCACAAAGTTTCATAAAGGATTTAAAATTCTTTCATACAAATTGAAGCTATACTTTTGGTAACGGATGATTTTACAGACACCTTTTCAGTAGCCAATTGTACAATTTGCATATGCTAAATAAAGTATGGTTTGTAATTATGCACATCTTTAACGTGCACAGAAATAGACATATTTATCTTATTTTTTTAAAAAGCTGACATCCTTATAAAGGTAACTTTCCACCTATATTTGTGCAGGTGGGAAAAAATGCAATTTATTGCTCTCTTGTCATAAACTAGTTAGTGATTATAGTGCAGTCCAGCTACATTGATATATGAATACTAGAATTAGAGTTAATTTTGAAGAATATTCTTCACTGTGTGCCTGAGTGCCTTAAACAACTGTTCAAGGAGTGTTAAACATGAATAGTCTGTGTTTCAAGTTATCATATAAGATGAGTAGTTTTATTTAAGTGTGGTGTATTTTCCTTTTTTAAAGGATGCTTCTTTTCTTTCTTCTCACAGAAAATGTACAGACTTTCATTTGAAGAATCTAGGAAGAAAGGGTATGATCTCAGAGCTGATGCTATCCCTATTAAAGCTGCCAAAGCTTCCAGGGATATTGCTAGCGATGTAAGTTCTTGAAAGAAAAAACTATGCATTTCAGATATTGTAAAACATCCCTTTCTTGACAGAATTCAATTTTATATGCCGATTGTATGAAGTTTCTTTATTGTCTTGCTTGTAAATAATTCTGACATTTGATATATATTCTAATACATTTTCTAGCAGGGTTCTTTATCAGGAAGGTAAAGAGATATATGAGGGACTCTTAGGAAAAAAAAAATGTTCATTCCTCAGTGTGATGGTGCTTGGATACTTCATAAAAGTATGTTGTATCTTTGTAATTTAAACAGAATGTTCAAAGATCTTTCTTAGAAGTACTTGAAAAGAACAGATATAGACTTAAATTATTTTTACTGTGGTGGTACAGTTATCTTTTTATGCCTTTGGTGAAAATCCCATTAAATTTCTTGGCGCAGAGAATAGAAGCTTCTGGAATCAGGACTATCCTGGAATCCTCTGTCTATCACTGCTGAGGGCTCAGTGTGAGGGGCAAATCCAGCCTGAGAGAGGGGGGAAGTTAGGGTCTAAGGACAGCTTATTTAGTCAGCCTTCTATTTTTTTACAACATAAAGGATGTTGCAGCCACTGCAAAGTCAATTTGCTCTGTCACTGCTCTGAGGGGAAGATATTTCTGTTCTGAGTTCTCTCCAAGCTGTAAGCAGTGAAGGAAAAAGGAATTGATGTTTGGTCTGTGTAGTTCATTGTCCAGGCTTGATTAGAGATTGAGGAAGGGGTCTGGGAGCCCCTTGGGAGGTTTTATTAAAACCAATTGGTTTTATTAAACCAAAGATCTTGGGAAGTGTCTTGAATTTCTTAATCCTTTGAACAAGTGAATCTGATGGAAGTGATGATTTTGATTTTATGGTTCGTCTTTAGTTATGAACTCATATATTCTAAGTATGGTCCAGGCTACCACAAAAATAGTTCCCTAAGCCAAATATCAGAAGCAGGATAGTAACTTTGTGGGTTTATGTATCCTGGTTCCAGTATTTGTGATAACTCATCTTAGAGTTAGTATGGGTATATCTAATATATATAATATATCTAAATATATCTAAATTCTGTGAAAAGAATTTAAAAAGCACTTTTTCCAAAGAACCATCTTCAGCAAACTATATTTTAGGTGTTCCTTTGCCTTTTGCTTTCTGTCAGTATGCTTTGTATTTTCATTGTGTCATTTATAAATGGTATGATATATAAATGGAACCCCGGGTTACATTGAACCTTATGCAGGAGCAGAATAAACTATTGTAAGGAAATATCATTTATTAAGAAAATGTTTTAAATGTACCACTTTTAGAAGGAATGCTAGACATCTGTTTTGCTTTAGAGTGCACCCTAGGAGTTGATAGACAAAGCTATCACCTCTATGTGCTTTGTGATGTTTTCTTTTCTTATTGTATATACTTACAAAACAGATAATGCTTATTAAACAAATGAGGTAGAACTGAAGTCTCTGTCTGTGTTCCCTTTACAGTATAAATACAAATTAGGTTATGAACAAGACAAGGGAAAACTCGTAGGCTTCCGCAGCCTTCAGGATGATCCCAAACTTGTCCATTATATGCAAGTGGCGAAGATGCAGTCTGACCGTGAGTACAAGAAAGCTTACGAGATGGGCAAGACACATTACCAAATGCCTTCTGATACCCTCAGCGTCGTGGCAGCCAAGGAGGCACAAGATCGTGTAACCAACACTAACTACAAACGACTGATTCACCAGTACATGCTTCTGCCAGATGCAATGAGTTTTGAACTGTACCGAAACATGAATCAGATACAAAGCAACGTAAGTTCCTCTTTTCTTTCTGTCTCTGTTTTCTCATTATATCTGTGTTTTGGAAACAATACAATGACTTATTATATAAGTCATTAGTAAATTGTAAACTTTCGTTTTGTGTTGTGGTTTGGCAGAATGAGTACAAGCAGGATTACAATGAGTGGTTCAAGGGTATCGGGTGGAGTCCCGATGGCTCTCTGGATGTGGTGAAATCGAAGAAAGCCACAGAAATAGCAAGCGATCGGAAATACCGCCAGCATCCCAGCCTGTTCCCCTTCACCAAACAGAATGACTCCATGGACATGGTCCTCGCAAAGCAGAATGCAAATATAATGAACAAAGTGAGTATTTATGGGCAAAATTAGGGAAACATTCACAGAGAATCCATTTCAGTAAACAGTCACCACCTTTATGTAGCAGTGCTTCCCTGCGAAAACTGTCATTCACAGGTTCCTCTTTTTAATATTTATGGGCAAAATTAGGGAAACATTCACATAGAATCCATTTCACTAAACAGTCACCACCTTTATGTAGCGGTGCTTCCCTGCAAAAACTGTCATTCACAGGTTCCTCTTTTTCATTTTTTTTTCATAATGAAATACTCAGTTACTGATAAATAGCATTGGTTAAATAAATCCTTTCTCATTTTTCTTATTGTTACCTCTCCACCCTCTATTCTTCTCATTCCTGTGTAGAAATTATTGGCCCTGAAAACCTTGATATTTGGACTTCATTAGAAGCAAGACTGGGTCCCAATTCAGCTGATTCCGGATTAGGTCATTGCTTAGCAAAATATATCTAAATCAGCACCTTTGTGTTTTTCCCCATCCGTATCCAAAGTGTGCAGATGGAAAAACTTGGAAGACCCATCATTTGTCATTTATATTAACACAAGTAATGTTCCTTTTTTCAATAGCATGCTTATACTGAAGCTTGGGAGAAGGACAAAATTCAGGTTCATGTGATGCCAGATACACCAGATATTCTACAGGCGAAACAGAACAAGACAAACTACAGTCAGGTAGGGTTTTTTAATACTTCCTATTACATTTTAAATGACTATCTACTTCCTTCAAAAGTAATGGTGCCACCCATTTAATTACATACAGTAAGTAATTTGTATAAATTAGAAGAAATTGAATGGGGGATATAGGACAGAGGCAAGAATTTTTATGTCAGTAATGTTTTCAGAGTAGCAATAAGTGCCATCTTCAGGTTAGCAAAGTAGCAGACTAAATTACATTATAACATATGGAAAATATAAGTCCTATTTTTGAAATGTGAATGTTCATAGTCCATACCCTGTGCTTAGAATAGAAATCAATCGTGTGAAAAATTCCTTACTATAAAATTACAAGTTCGTTGAGTATATTTTTAGCTTAACATATGGGAAAAGAAATACATGCAGTGATTCTCACTTTTCTGTCAGCTTTCAAATAGGAGGAAGTGACAATTGTGTCAGTATAAAATACTTGGGTTTTGTTTTGCATGACTGCTTAGAGCCATATCTTTTACTTGCAACTGCTGGTACTTAAAAGCTGAAGTGAATAAAATAGCTACATTACAGCCTCATTAATTAAAATTTTGTTAAGCCAATTGAAAAGTTTTCGGTTATCGCAGATGCATATATTTCAAATTCCCCTGATGTGTTTCAAATCCCCAAGATAAACCATAGCAGGAAGCTGCTGTAGTAAAGGAAAACTACTTAATCACTGGCTTAAGGCTTGGAAGATCACGTTCCCTGCTTATCAGTTTTCCATTTCTCAGTTCCCATTCTAGTTCTCTTGGAACTGAAGCCTGTGAGGTGTCCAGAATTTGGTATTATGGATCATTAGCATATCCAAATAGAAGGTGACATACATATTACTAAGACTTTTTAATTAATATTGTTTTCAATTTTAGAAACTCTACAAGCTTGGCTGGGAGGAAATGATAAAGAAAGGCTATGACCTCACACCTGAAGCCATTTCAGTGAAATCTGCCAAAGCTTCCAGGGACATCGCAAGTGACGTAAGAAACATTTCTAATTCAATAGGAACTGCAATTTATCCAGTTGTTATAATTTACAGTGTCGTGTTGGATCTAGATACACCCGTCTGCTAAGGTGGGGCTTGGAGTAGAAAGCAAAATTGCTGACAAAGCTCTTTCCTGGTCCGTTGCTGTCAACAAAGAAAACAATTTAAGAATAGTTGCCCTGGCATCTTGATAATTCCAAAGATTTTGGTCTATCCGTGAAGTTGCTACTCCTGCAAAGTTAGGAGCTGTCTCCTCTTGTGGATGTCCAATTAGCTGATCCCAGTGCCTATAGGGAGGAATCCCTTTTACAGGTCCGAATTTCATGTGGTGACATATGTATTGCTGTTGTAACCTGGTATGCAGACAGTTCCTGCATTTATAGAAGAGATTTTATTAATCGTTAGGAAATGTTTCCAATGCTTAAGCATCTACATTTTTCTATGCTGATTATTTTATTCCTCAAAATATTTCAGTGTGTCAGGCTTTAGGAGGTCTGAACAGTATGACTGTATGAATCAGATGGCACAGGAGACCATTTATAGCCACGGGCTCTTCCTCTCCAGGGATTTTGTTCATTCCCAGGGAGAGCATTCACTGACACCAACTGATGCCCATTAGTCAAGGGGCTACTAAAACTTTACACAAGATGCCATAAAAAGATGGTAATTTCATTGGTAATGAGAAGCACTGAACTGAGAGAATATGTTGTTATTTTATATATATATATGAAATATATATATTTTATATATTTTACCATTGTCTGTTTCTTACTGTAATTTCAATAATGCAATCTTTATTATAATTTTAGTACAAGTACAAAGAAGGTTACCGCAAGCAACAGGGACATCACATTGGATTCCGCAGTTTACAGGATGACCCTAAGATGTTGTGGTCCATGCAAGTGGCCAAGATGCAGAGCGAGAGGGAGTACAAGAAAGACTTTGAAAAGTGGAAGACGAAGTTTAACATGCCTGTGGATATGTTAGGCTTCCTTCTGGCTAAGAAATGTCAGGAACTGGTCAGTGATATAGACTACAAACGGATACTACATCGCTGGACTTGTCTGCCGGACCAGAATGATGTCACCCAGGCAAAAAGGGTCTACGAGCTACAGAGTGATGTAAGCTTCCCCTGGATTTAATTATTTTATTCTTTTTGTAAGATACTTACCACTCATTGAAAAGTATCTTTAATAACTTTCCTTTGATGTCGGTATAGATCAGACTGAAGCTAAAATACCACTTGTTCTTTTAATATCATTTAATAAATTAACAGGGAATTAATCCAGTGTGGTTTTGTTTTTTTTTTCCTTAACAGAATCTATATAAGGCAGATCTACAATGGCTCAAAGGCATTGGATGGAGTCCTTTGGGATCTTTGGAATCTGAAAAGAACAAGAAAGCTTCTGAAATATTGAGTGAAAAGAAGTACCGGCAGCACCCAGACACCATTAAGTTCACAAGTATCCCAGATGCCATGGATATTGTTTTAGCAAAATCTAATGCCAAAAACAGGAGTAATGTAAGTTGCCTCTAGAGACAGAACATGTGATTCAGTAAATGAATACATTAGTATACGTTTGTTAAAAAGATCTCCATATCAGAACATGTGCTTAAAATATGCCAATATCAGCTGTTTACAATCAGTCCCTTACTGCTCAGTTGTCAAGTACTGTGCCTCATTTAGAAGATTAAGGTCTTTAGTGTTGTATAACTCATTCTGTAATAACTGCAAATAACACATTTACTATGTAGTATGTAAATCTCTTGTCATCCTGCTGTTTCCTTGGCATTTCATGGATGTAAAGAAGGAAAAAAAGAGGTATTTAACTAAGAAGTCATCATATTATTTGCTTTTAGTATTTTGTGTCACTTATGCTTTCGTAGTGCATCTTTGCTTTGTTATTGTAGGGAAAGAGTGAGCTGAATTTACTGCTGCACATGAGAGCCTTGTATCAGACAAGGTCTTTTGTTTGTGTCTCTTTTCAGATACTGTATAGAGAAGCTTGGGACAAGGACAAGACTCAGGTTCACATCATGCCTGATACTCCTGAAATTTTGCTGGCTAAATCAAACTTGATTAACATGAGTGATGTAAGTTTGTCTGCACAATTTTTTTTTTAATGTAATTTGAAATTACCCATTGTGGCTTTAGTGTAAAATACAGTAGAGTAATTCTGCAATTCTAACAGCTGTAAGCACACCTGTGATCTTTTCCTGTGAAAACTGTTATGCACCAAGAAACCTGAGTGGAATTACTAAAATATAAAGCAGAAGCAGAGTTGCTATAATATAAAAAAAATCAAGAAAATATTGAACAAAAGTTGGCAGTTTTCTGTTTCATCCCTTCTTATTATATTAACATGATAGGTACATGTTCAGTACTTATTAGTAAGCCTGTCATTCTTTTTAAAATGTCTGGTTATATTGACTTCCCTCTTTAGAATTACATAGCATTATGTAGTTTACATCAAATTCCTGATTGTAATGGGACAAATATAAACTCACGCAAAGATAAAAGTTAGCAGCTCTGTCACAGAAACTCAAGAAGGCAAAAATAATTGCAATTGAAATTAAGTGTAGAGAATCACGGGGTTGTATTATTCATCTCTGTGGAAGACTGTGAAACATTCAGAGTAGTGAGTTAAGTAAATGAAAAATTTGATCTCAAATGACTTAATCAGAAAACATAGATAGTAATTTTAAAATATTTTACATCATCAGTTACAAACTATACATTGTTAAAAGAAAACTGTGGAATTTAATTTGATGAGTGAAATTCTGTTTGGAATCTCATGCTTTATTTTCAACAATCAGGGTAGGAAATTTGTAGCATTGAAGAACTCTGCAGAGAGTTTTATTTCCAATAATGACTTTGAATCCTCCTCCAACAGAAACATTACAAGTTAGGATATGAAGAACTGAAGAAGAAAGGCTACGATCTTCCTCCTGATGCCATACCCCTCAAGTCAGCAAAGGCGTCCAGAGACATAGCTAGTGAAGTAAGTCTTACACAGTGAAAACAATAGTGGGGCATAGAGTGGGGATACACTTTGGAACAAAGATTCATTTAAATAAAAGGGGGAGAGGTCTACAATTTTAACAGGTTGTCCTCCCCAGAGGTTCTCTAATTCTTAATGCTGTAAAGTTAAATAGATTAAATAAAATAATTTATTGAATAGTATATAACCATGAAAAAAATCGGTTCTCTAATTCTTAATGCTGTAAAGTTAATTAGATTAAATAAAATAATTTATCGGATAGTATATAACCATGAAAAAATGAGATAATGTCTTCTGGACATGCAATAAAAACAATAAAAATGTGGGGAAAATATAAAAATACTTTGAAATATATTAAATATGAAAATTTCAACCACTATGTTAATAACAGAGAAAACTGCAGCTTGAAACGAGATGATAATTGTTATTTCTGCATTCAATTAGTACCAATACAAAACTGCATACAGAAAGCAGCTTGGCCACCACATCGGGGCCCGTAACATAGAGGATGACCCCAAGATGATGTGGTCGATGCACGTAGCCAAGATCCAGAGTGACCGAGAGTACAAGAAAGCCTTTGAGAAGTCCAAGACCCACTTCAGTAGCCCAGTGGACATGCTGGGCATCGTGTTGGCCAAGAAATGTCAGGAGTTGGTGAGCGATGTGGATTACAAGCACCCTCTGCATCGGTGGACCTGTCTGCCGGACCAGAACGATGTTGTACAAGCCAGGAAAGTGTATGACCTTCAGAGTGATGTGAGTAGCTCTTTGCTGGCTGTGTGAAAGCCAGACGTGAGTCTTGTGTTGTGTTCTGTTGTTGGATAAGGTACAGGTAGGGGGACTCTGTTGTGGCCATACTGTCTTGCTCAAAGTTGGTAACATGAATGAGCAGGGGTGAAGTTTGTGTGGGGTTATATTTTATGGTCACAGAAGAGTCCTGTGTTGCCTTGAACATTTTGGGGGGAAGGAAGGTCACTGCAGGTGGCTGGAGTTCTGTGTGATGGGGAAGAGCAATGGAGTAATAGGCTGGAGTTCTGTGTGACGGGGAAGAGCAATAGAGTCATATATTTTCTTTTGGAGGACCAAGAGTGGGCAAAGCAAATAATTTGTGCAGTTGTTAAGGGTATGAAAAGCCTTAGGTGGGGAGGTATAAGGCTCCTGTTGTGCCACTGCCAGCTGGAGGTTGCCAAATGAGAAGATGTTCCCTGGGGACATAAGGCAGGTGGTGGAGGGAAAGCAATTTGTGGATATCTTGGCACCTGCTTGTGCTGTTGTAGCCATGGGGAGCCAACATCCAGGGGGCTGAGCTTTACTGGGATTCCCTTCATGGTGGCTGGGGGGTTGTCCCAGGGGGATGTGTTTTTGCAGAAAGGGCTTCTCTAGGTAAAAGGAGAGGTTGCATGGAGGAAGGAGGTGGCTGAGGTGCTTTGTGTCCTTGCCTGTCCTTTCAGAACGTGTACAAGTCTGACCTGCTGTGGCTGAGGGGCATTGGCTGGTCCCCCAGTGGATCTCTGGATGATGAGAAGAATAAGAGGGCGAGCCTGATCCTGAGTGACAAGAAGTATCGGCAGCACCCAGACACCATCAAATTCACGAGCCTCCCTGACTCCATGCCTATGGTTCTGGCAAAGCACAACTCTGAGATTATGAACCAGGTGAGATGAAGCACCTGAAAGTAATAAGCACCTTCACTTCCCAGGATGCTGGCCCTTCCAGGGCCTGATTTTTGGGAGTCAGGAACTGCATCCTCTTGCAGTAGTGATTTATGGTCCTTGTTTTCAATCAAATTCTACTTTGTGTGGTTGGAGGTGTGACTCAGTGCAGTGTGGAAAACAAAGGGTGAAGGGTTAGAGGGTCTGGGACAAGAAAAGGCATTCATGAGTCAGTGCAAAGTAGGGGCCGCTTCCCTTGAGCTTAATGCTTGAGCTCAGATACTTTCTTGAGCTACTTTGCTCTTGGATTTTGATGCCTTGTGCTTGTTTGAGCTTATCTCCCCTTGTATTCTCCCATTTCAGCGCTCATACGTAGCAGCATGGGAGAAGGATAAAACCAGCATCCACATTATGCCAGACACCCCTGGTATTTTGCTGGCCCAGCAGAACAGAGTGAACTTCAGTGAGGTAGGTGTTTGAGCTGGGGTCCCTGGCCCTGGATGCTGCTATGGTCCAGGAAGAAGTGTAGTTTGATTGGAATGCTTGTTGTTTTTCTTTCAGAAACTGTACAAGCTTGCCATGGAGGAAGATAAGAAGAAAGGCTACGACATGCGGGCAGATGCCATTCCAATCAAGTCTGCTAAAGCTTCCAGAGATATTGCAAGTGATGTAAGTGCACAGGAGCCCTTGGTGGCAGAGTGTGTTGGATGCTTTCCAGGTGCTTGCTGCTGAAACCCAGTGTTTGGAACCTCAGCCCAATGGAGGCAACCAAGCTCTTACCTGTCATAGCTGTTCAGCACATCCACATACATGTTCCTTCTGGAGCGTCTCTCTGTAGCTTTCCCTGCATGTTCTGGGTGTAGGTTGTTGCAAGTGTAGCTGTAGATGGTACGTAGAGAGTAGCTGTGGGATCTGAGTGATGGAGATGCTCCAAAGCAGTGTCCCTACTGAGCTTGTTACAGCATTTCCTCATACGACAGCATGTCCTTTTGAGGTGGTGTATGATGCCTCCTGTACTTACAGTCTGGGAGTCTAGTTCTCAAGGTTGGATGGAGCTGCTGTGTGATCCTCCAACTGCCTCCTGTGGCCAAGAGTAGACATGGAGAGATGGACGTGCAGGACACAGTAGGGATATGCTGAGCTTAGACACCTCTTCACGTGGTGATCTTGCCAGGCTCCATTGCAAAGCGCTTGCTCACAGGCGCTGCTGGAGATTAGTGTGAGAAGGGAGAAGAGCTGGGCTGGAACTTACTGATCTTCTCTCCCCTGCAGTACAAATACAAAGAAGGCTATCGCAAGCAGCTTGGCCACCACATCGGGGCCCGTAACATAGAGGATGACCCCAAGATGATGTGGTCGATGCACGTAGCCAAGATCCAGAGTGACCGAGAGTACAAGAAAGCCTTTGAGAAGTCCAAGACCCACTTCAGTAGCCCAGTGGACATGCTGGGCATCGTGTTGGCCAAGAAATGTCAGGAGTTGGTGAGCGATGTGGATTACAAGCACCCTCTGCATCGGTGGACCTGTCTGCCGGACCAGAACGATGTTGTACAAGCCAGGAAAGTGTATGACCTTCAGAGTGATGTGAGTAGTTCTTTGCTGGCTGTGTGAAAGCCAGACATCTGTCTTGTGTTGTGTTCTGTTGTTGGAGAAGGTGGAGGTAGGGGGACTCTGTTGTGGCCATACTGTCTTGCTCAAAGTTGGTGACATGAATGAGCAGGGGGGAAGTTTGTGTGGGGTCATATTTTATGGTCACAGAAGAGTCCTGTGTTGCCTTGAACATTTTGGGGGGAAGGAAGGTCACTGCAGGTGGCTGGAGTTCTGTGTGATGGGGAAGAGCAATGGAGTAATAATATATTTTCTTTTGGAGGACCAAGAGTGGGCAAAGCAAATAATTTGTGCAGTTGTTAAGGGTATGAAAAGCCTTAGGTGGGGAGGTATAAGGCTCCTGTTGTGCCACTGCCAGCTGGAGGTTGCCAAATGAGAAGATGTTCCCTGGGGACATAAGGCAGGTGGTGGAGGGAAAGCAATTTGTGGATATCTTGGCACCTGCTTGTGCTGTTGTAGCCATGGGGAGCCAACATCCAGGGGGCTGAGCTTTACTGGGATTCCCTTCATGGTGGCTGGGGGGTTGTCCCAGGGGGGTGTGTTTTTGCAGAAAGGGCTTCTCTAGGTAAAAGGAGAGGTTGCATGGAGGAAGGAGGTGGCTGAGGTGCTTTGTGTCCTTGCCTGTCCTTTCAGAACGTGTACAAGTCTGACCTGCTGTGGCTGAGGGGCATTGGCTGGTCCCCCAGTGGATCTCTGGATGATGAGAAGAATAAGAGGGCGAGCCTGATCCTGAGTGACAAGAAGTATCGGCAGCACCCGGACACCATCAAATTCACGAGCCTCCCTGACTCCATGCCTATGCTTTTGGCAAAGCACAACTCTGAGATTATGAACCAGGTGAGTTGTCCTTGCATTTGCCACCTGAAGGTAATAAGCGCCTTCATTTCCCTGGATGTTGGGCTCTCTCCTTCCAGGGCCTGAGTTTTGGGAGTCAGGAACTGCATCCTCTTGCAGTAGTGATTTATGGTCCTTGTTTTCAATCAAATTCTACTTTGTGTGGTTGGAGGTGTGACTCAGTGCAGTGTGGAAAACAAAGGGTGAAGGGTTAGAGGGTCTGGGACAAGAAAAGGCATTCATGAGTCAGTGCAAAGTAGGGGCCGCTTCCCTTGAGCTTAATGCTTGAGCTCAGATACTTTCTTGAGCTACTTTGCTCTTGGATTTTGATGCCTTGTGCTTGTTTGAGCTTATCTCCCCTTGTATTCTCCCATTTCAGCGCTCATACGTAGCAGCATGGGAGAAGGATAAAACCAGCATCCACATTATGCCAGACACCCCTGGTATTTTGCTGGCCCAGCAGAACAGAGTGAACTTCAGTGAGGTAGGTGTTTGAGCTGGGGTCCCTGGCCCTGGATGCTGCTATGGTCCAGGAAGAAGTGTAGTTTGATTGGAATGCTTGTTGTTTTTCTTTCAGAAACTGTACAAGCTTGCCATGGAGGAAGATAAGAAGAAAGGCTACGACATGCGGGCAGATGCCATTCCAATCAAGTCTGCTAAAGCTTCCAGAGATATTGCAAGTGATGTAAGTGCACAGGAGCCCTTGGTGGCAGAGTGTGTTGGATGCTTTCCAGGTGCTTGCTGCTGAAACCCAGTGTTTGGAACCTCAGCCCAATGGAGGCAACCAAGCTCTTACCTGTCATAGCTGTTCAGCACATCCACATACATGTTCCTTCTGGAGGGTCTGTCTGTAGCTTTCCCTGCATGTTCTGGGTGTAGGTTGTTGCAAGTGTAGGTGTAGATGGTATGTAGAGAGTAGCTGTGGGATCTGAGTGATGGAGATGCTCCAAAGCAGTGTCCCTACTGAGCTTGTTACAGCATTTCCTCATACGACAGCATGTCCTTTTGAGGTGGTGTATGATGCCTCCTGTACTTACAGTCTGGGAGTCTAGTTCTCAAGGTTGGATGGAGCTGCTGTGTGATCCTCCAACTGTCTCCTGTGGCCTAGATGATGCCTCCTGTACTTACAGTCTGGGAGTCTAGTTCTCAAGGTTGGATGGAGCTGCTGTGTGATCCTCCAACTGCCTCCTGTGGCCAAGAGTAGACATGGAGAGATGGACGTGCAGGACACAGTAGGGATATGCTGAGCTTAGACACCTCTTCACGTGGTGATCTTGCCAGGCTCCATTGCAAAGCGCTTGCTCACAGGCGCTGCTGGAGATTAGTGTGAGAAGGGAGAAGAGCTGGGCTGGAACTTACTGATCTTCTCTCCCCTGCAGTACAAATACAAAGAAGGCTATCGCAAGCAGCTTGGCCACCACATCGGGGCCCGTAACATAGAGGATGACCCCAAGATGATGTGGTCGATGCATGTAGCCAAGATCCAGAGTGACCGAGAGTACAAGAAAGCCTTTGAGAAGTCCAAGACCCACTTCAGTAGCCCAGTGGACATGCTGGGCATCGTGTTGGCCAAGAAATGTCAGGAGTTGGTGAGCGATGTGGATTACAAGCACCCTCTGCATCGGTGGACCTGTCTGCCGGACCAGAACGATGTTGTACAAGCCAGGAAAGTGTATGACCTTCAGAGTGATGTGAGTTGTTCTTTGCTGGCTGTGTGAAAGCCAGACATCTGTCTTGTGTTGTGTTCTGTTGTTGGAGAAGGTGCAGGTGGGGCGTGTAAATCTGGGCTGATTCTGGGAGACTGAGACTGTGATGTGGCCATACTGTCTTGCTGAGAGATGATTTCATGACTGAGCAGGGTGAAGTTTGTGTGGGGTCATATCTTATGGTCACAGAAGAGTCCTTGAGCATTTTGAGGGGAAGGAAGGTCACTGCAGGTGGCTGGAGTTCTGTGTGATGGGGAAGAGCAACAGAGTCAAGTATTTCCTTTTGGAGGAATGACAGTGGGCAAAGGCAAGGCACGTGTGCAGTTGGGAATGGGGTGAAGAGCCTTAGGTGGGGAGGTATAAGGCTCCTGTTGTGCCACTGCCAGCTGGAGGTTGCCAAATGGGGAAGATGTTTCCTGGGGACATAAGGAAGGTGGTGGAGGGAAAGCAATTTGTGGATATCTTGGCACCTGCTTGTGCTGTTGTAGCCATGGGGAGCCAACATCCAGGGGGCTGAGCTTCCTGGGCGTCCCTTCATGGTGTCTGGTGGGTTGTCCCAGGGGGATCTGTTTTTGTAGGAAGAAATTCTCTAGGTAGAGGAGAGGTTGCATGGAGGAAAGAGGTTGCTGAGGTGCTTTGTGTCCTTGCCTGTCCTTTCAGAACGTGTACAAGTCTGACCTGCTGTGGCTGAGGGGCATTGGCTGGTCCCCCAGTGGATCTCTGGATGATGAGAAGAATAAGAGGGCGAGCCTGATCCTGAGTGACAAGAAGTATCGGCAGCACCCGGACACCATCAAATTCACGAGCCTCCCTGACTCCATGCCTATGCTTTTGGCAAAGCACAACTCTGAGATTATGAACCAGGTGAGTTGTCCTTGCATTTGCCACCTGAAGGTAATAAGCGCCTTCATTTCCCTGGATGTTGGGCTCTCTCCTTCCAGGGCCTGAGTTTTGGGAGTCAGGAACTGCATCCTCTTGCAGTAGTGATTTATGGTCCTTGTTTTCAATCAAATTCTACTTTGTGTGGTTGGAGGTGTGACTCAGTGCAGTGTGGAAAACAAAGGGTGAAGTGTTACAAGGTTTTGGAACAAAAGAAGCTATTCCTGAGTCACTGCAAAGTCAAGGCCAATAGCTTCAATTCCTTCAGTTGATTTGCTGTTGGATTTTATTTCCTTGAGCTTGTTTGATCTTATTTCATGTTGTATTCTCCCATTTCAGCGCTCATACGTAGCAGCATGGGAGAAGGATAAAACCAGCATCCACATTATGCCAGACACCCCTGGTATTTTGCTGGCCCAGCAGAACAGAGTGAACTTCAGTGAGGTAGGTGTTTGAGCTGGGGTCCCTGGCCCTGGATGCTGCTATGGTCCAGGAAGAAGTGTAGTTTGATTGGAATGCTTGTTGTTTTTCTTTCAGAAACTGTACAAGCTTGCCATGGAGGAAGATAAGAAGAAAGGCTACGACATGCGGGCAGATGCCATTCCAATCAAGTCTGCTAAAGCTTCCAGAGATATTGCAAGTGATGTACGTACACAGGCACCCTTGGTAGCATGCTCTCTTCAGTCTTATTTGACCTTGCAGAAGCAAGCCTTGGAAAAAGTCGTAGTATCATAGAATCATAGAATGGTTTAGTCCAGAAGGGATCTTATAAATCATCCGGTTCCTAGCCCTCTGCCATGGCCATGGGCAACTTCCACCAAACGAGGTTGCTCAAATCCCAGTCCAACCTGGCCTTGAACCCCTCCAGCGATGGCGCAGCCACAGCTTCTCTGGGCAACCTGACCCAGGGTCTCACCACCTTCACAGCAAAGAATTTCTCCCTGAGTTCTCATCTCAATCTCCCCTCTTTCAGTTGGAATCCATACCCCCTCATCCTATGTCTCCAATCCCTGATTGGAGTCACCTCCCTTGCCCTGCTGGCCACACTTCTTTTGATGCGGTCCTTGGGAATTGCTTGGCACCTGCTTGTGCTGTTGTAGCCATGGGGAGCCAACATCCAGGGGGCGGAGCTTCCTGGGAGTCCCTTCCTGGTGGCTGGGTGCTCCAAAGCAGTGTCCCTACTGAGCTTGTGATAGCATCTCCTCGTACGACAGCGTGTCCTTTTGAGGTGGTTTATGATGCCTCCTGTACTTACAGTCTGGGAGTCTAGTTCTCAAGGTTGGATGGAGCTGCTGTGTGATCCTCCAACTGCCTCCTGTGGCCAAGAGTAGACATGGAGAGATGGACGTGCAGGACACAGTAGGGATATGCTGAGCTTAGACACCTCTTCACGTGGTGATCTTGCCAGGCTCCATTGCAAAGCGCTTGCTCACAGGCGCTGCTGGAGATTAGTGTGAGAAGGGAGAAGAGCTGGGCTGGAACTTACTGATCTTCTCTCCCCTGCAGTACAAATACAAAGAAGGCTATCGCAAGCAGCTTGGCCACCACATCGGGGCCCGTAACATAGAGGATGACCCCAAGATGATGTGGTCGATGCACGTAGCCAAGATCCAGAGTGACCGAGAGTACAAGAAAGCCTTTGAGAAGTCCAAGACCCACTTCAGTAGCCCAGTGGACATGCTGGGCATCGTGTTGGCCAAGAAATGTCAGGAGTTGGTGAGCGATGTGGATTACAAGCACCCTCTGCATCGGTGGACCTGTCTGCCGGACCAGAACGATGTTGTACAAGCCAGGAAAGTGTACGACCTTCAGAGTGATGTGAGTTGTTCTTTGCTGGCTGTGTGAAAGCCAGACATCTGTCTTGTGTTGTGTTCTGTTGTTGGAGAAGGTGCAGGTGGGGAGCATAAGTCTGGGCTGATTCTGGGAGATGGAGACTGTGATGTGGCCATACTGTCTTGCTGAGAGATGATTTCATGACTGAGCAGGGTTGAAGTTTGTGTGGGGTCATACGTTATGGTCCCAGAAGAGTCCTTGAGCATTTTGTGGGGAAGGAAGGTCGCTGCAGGTGGCTGGAGTTTTGTGTGATGGGGAAGAGCAACAGAGTCAAGTATTTCCTTTTGGAGGAATGACAGTGGGCAAAGGCAAGACACGTGTGCAGTTGGGAATGGGGTGGGGAGGTATAAGGCTCCTCTTGTGCCACTGCCAGCTGGAGATTGCCAATGGGGATGATGTTCCCTGGGAACATAAGGAAGGTTCTGGAGGGAAAGCAATTTGGGAATTGCTTGGCACCTGCTTGTGCTGTTGTAGCCATGGGGAGCCAACATCCAGGGGGCGGAGCTTCCTGGGAGTCCCTTCCTGGTGGCTGGGGGGTTGGCCCAGGGAGATGTGTTTTTGTAGGCAGAGTAGGAGAAGAGGTGCCATGGAGGAAGGAGGTGGCTGAGGTGCTTTATGTTCTTGCCTGTCCTTTCAGAACGTGTACAAGTCTGACCTGCTGTGGCTGAGGGGCATTGGCTGGTCCCCCAGTGGTTCTCTGGATGATGAGAAGAATAAGAGGGCAGGCCTCATCCTGAGTGACAAGAAGTATCGGCAGCACCCGGACACCATCAAGTTCACGAGCCTCCCTGACTCCATGCCGATGCTTTTGGCAAAGCACAACTCTGAGATTATGAACCAGGTGAGATGTCCTTGCGTTTGCCACCTGAAGGAAACAGCTGCCTTCCTTTCCCAAGACATTGATGTTCCTTGAGCTACTTTGCTCATGGAGTTTGTTGGCTGTTCTTGCATTGTCTCATTTCACATTGTACTAATTTTTTCAGCGCTCATACACAGAAGCATGGGAGAAGGATAAAACCAGCATCCACATTATGCCAGACACCCCTGGTATTTTGCTGGCCCAGCAGAACAGAGTGAACTTCAGTGAGGTAGGTGTTTGAACTGGGGTTAAGCAACTGTCCCTGGATGCTGCTATGGTCCAGGAAGAAGTGTAGTTTGATTGGAATGTTTGTTGTTTTTCTTTCAGAAAATGTACAAGCTTGCCATGGAGGAAGATAAGAAGAAAGGCTACGACATGCGGGCAGATGCCATTCCAATCAAGTCTGCTAAAGCTTCCAGAGATATTGCAAGTGATGTACGTACACAGGCACCCTTGGTAGCATGCTCTCTTCAGTCTTATTTGACCTTGCAGAAGCAAGCCTTGGAAAAAGTCGTAGTATCATAGAATCATAGAATGGTTTAGTCCAGAAGGGATCTTATAAATCATCCGGTTCCTAGCCCTCTGCCATGGCCATGGGCAACTTCCACCAAACGAGGTTGCTCAAATCCCAGTCCAACCTGGCCTTGAACCCCTCCAGCGATGGCGCAGCCACAGCTTCTCTGGGCAACCTGACCCAGGGTCTCACCACCTTCACAGCAAAGAATTTCTCCCTGAGTTCTCATCTCAATCTCCCCTCTTTCAGTTGGAATCCATACCCCCTCATCCTATGTCTCCAATCCCTGATTGGAGTCACCTCCCTTGCCCTGCTGGCCACACTTCTTTTGATGCGGTCCTGGATACAATTGGCTTTCTGGGCTGCAAGTGCCCATTGCTGGCTCACATTCAATTTTTCATCCCCCAACACCCCCATGTCCTCTGCAGAGCTATCCTCAGTCCACTCATCACCCAGCCTGTGTCCATGTTTGTGATTGTCTCACCCAGGTTCAGGACCTTACACTTGACCTTGTTGGAGTTTATGAGGTTTGCATGGACCCACCTTGCTAGCCTGTCAGGGTCCCCGTGGATGGAATCCCTTCCCTCTTGAGTATCAACCACACCACTCAGCCTTCTGCAGGCTTGCACTCAATCCTACTGTCCCTGTCCCCAGCAAATATGTTAAATAATACTGGTCCCAATACAAACCCCTGAGGGACACCACTCATCACTGGTCTCTACCTGGAGTTTGAGCCGGTGACTCCAACTCTTTGAGTGCGACCATCCAGCCAATTCCTTATCCACCGAGCGGTCCATCTGTCAAATCCACGTCTCTCTATTTGAGAGACAAGGATGTTGTGTGCCACAGCATCAAATGCTTTGCACAAGTCTGGGTAGATGATGTCAGTTGCTCTTTCTTTATCCACCAAAGCTGTAACCTTGTCATAGAAGGCCACCAAATTTTTCAGGCATGATTTGCCCTTACTGAAGCCACATTGGCTGTCACCAGTCAACTCTCTGTTTTCCTTGTGCCTTAGCAGAGTTTCCAGGAGGATCTACTCCATGATCTTGCCAGGCACAGAGATGAGGCTGACTGGGCTGTAGTTTTCTGGGTCTTCTTTTTTTCCCTTTTTAAAAACGGGCTATTTTTTGCCTTATCCCATCACCAGGAACTTCACCAGTCTGACGCAACTTTTCAAGTACGATGGATAGTGGTTCAGCAACTACATCTGCCAGTTCCCTCAGGAACTGCAGATGCATCTCATCAGGTCCCATGGACTTGTCCATTAGACAGTCTTGAACCAGATCTTCTCCTCCAGTGGGCAGTACTTCATTGTCCCAGCCCCTGCTTTTGGATTCAGTGAACTGGGCAGCGTGTCTAGAGCACTTGCCAGTGAAGACCGAGGCAAAAAAGTATCTGGAGTATCTCAGCCTTCTCCATGCCACTTGTAGCCAGGTCTCCCATTTTGCTCATCACGGCAAAACTAGGGGAGCTCTAGGGGTACAGTTTCTTTCATCTTCCTTTCTTGTCCTGTGTACCTAATGAAACCCTTCTTGTTATTTTTTATGTCCCAAGCCAAGTTCAGCTCCAACTGTGCCTTTGTTTTGCTGATCTCCTCACTGCACTCCCAGACCATATCCCTGTAATCTCCCCAGAATGTACAACCCTGCCTCCACAGCCATTGCCTTTTGGTTTTGGTTTGGCTCGTAGGTCTTGACTTAGCCAAGCTGGCCTCCTGCCTGCCTTGCCTGACCTCCTGCATGTTGGGATTGAGAGCTCTTGCGCCCTGAGCAAAATGTCTTTAAACATCTCCCAGCTCTCATTCGCTCCTTTATCTCTGAGGACAGTTTCCCAAGGGATACCACTCACTAGCACCATAACCAGCTGAAAGTTTGGCTTTCTGAGGGTTAGAGTACTGGCTCTAATTTTTAACTGTCCTGTAGCCCTCACAATTGACAATTCTACTAGAGCATGATGGCTGCAGCCCAGCTCCAGTCTTGACCTCTTCGATAAATTAATCCTCATTAGTGAGCAACAGGTCCATCAGTGCCTCTTGTCTGGTCAGGCTCTCATTCACATCTAATAGGAAGATCTCCTCAATGCATTCCAGTGGTCTCCTGGATGGCTTGCAGTATGCTGTGCTGCTTTTACAGCTGAAGTTAGGATGGCCCTCCAACTGCCTCCTGTGGCCAAGGGTAGACATGGAGAGATGGAAGTGTAGGACACAGTAGGGATATGCTGAGCTTAGACACCTCTTCATGTGATGATCTTGCCAGGCTCCATTAACGAAACACTTGCTCACAGGCGCTGCTGGAGATTAGTGTGAGAAGGGAGAAGAGCTGGGCTGGAACTTACTGATCTTCTCTCCCCTGCAGTACAAATACAAAGAAGGCTATCGCAAGCAGCTTGGCCACCACATCGGGGCCCGTAACATAGAGGATGACCCCAAGATGATGTGGTCGATGCACGTAGCCAAGATCCAGAGTGACCGAGAGTACAAGAAAGCCTTTGAGAAGTCCAAGACCCACTTCAGTAGCCCAGTGGACATGCTGGGCATCGTGTTGGCCAAGAAATGTCAGGAGTTGGTGAGCGATGTGGATTACAAGCACCCTCTGCATCGGTGGACCTGTCTGCCGGACCAGAACGATGTTGTACAAGCCAGGAAAGTGTACGACCTTCAGAGTGATGTGAGTTGTTCTTTGCTGGCTGTGTGCAAACCATATGTTTGTCTTGTGTTGTGTTCTGTTGCTGGAGAAGGTGCAGGTGGGGGGCATAAGTCTGGGCTGATTCTGGGAGACGGAACGTAAGTCTGGCTCATTCTGACCAGATTGTGGCCATACTGTCTTGCTGAGAGATGATTTTCATGACTGAGCAGGGTGAAGTTTGTGTCGAGTCATATTTTATGGTCCCAGAAGAGTCCTTGAGCATTTTGGGGGGAAGGAAGGTCACTGCAGGTGGCTGGAGTTCTCTGTGATGGGGAAGAGCAACAGAGTCAAGTATTTCCTTTTGGAGGAATGACAGTGGGCAAAGGCAAGGCACGTGTGCAGTTGGGAATGGGGTGAAAAGCATTCAATGATCAGATATGAGTCTCTTCTGTGCCACTGCCAACTGGTGATTGCCAAATCAGAAAGATGTTCCCTGGAGACATGAAGAAGATGGTGGAGGGAAGTTTTTGTGGGTATCTTGGCACTTGCTTGTGCTGTTGTAGCCATGGGGAGTTGACATCCAGGGGACAGAGCTTCCTGGGAGTCCCTTCATGGTGGCTGGTGGGTTGGCCCAGGGAGATGTGTTTTTGTAGGCAGAGTAGGAGAAGAGGTGCCATGGAGGAAGGAGGTGGCTGAGGTGCTTTGTGTCCTTGCCTGTCCTTTCAGAATGTGTACAAGTCTGACCTGCTGTGGCTGAGGGGCATTGGCTGGTCCCCCAGTGGTTCTCTGGACGATGACTTGTATTCTCCCATTTCAGCGCTCATACGTAGCAGCATGGGAGAAGGATAAAACCAGCATCCACATTATGCCAGACACCCCTGGTATTTTGCTGGCCCAGCAGAACAGAGTGAACTTCAGTGAGGTAGGTGTTTGAGCTGGGGTCCCTGGCCCTGGATGCTGCTATGGTCCAGGAAGAAGTGTAGTTTGATTGGAATGCTTGTTGTTTTTCTTTCAGAAACTGTACAAGCTTGCCATGGAGGAAGATAAGAAGAAAGGCTACGACATGCGGGCAGATGCCATTCCAATCAAGTCTGCTAAAGCTTCCAGAGATATTGCAAGTGATGTAAGTGCACAGGAGCCCTTGGTGGCAGAGTGTGTTGGATGCTTTCCAGGTGCTTGCTGCTGAAACCCAGTGTTTGGAACCTCAGCCCAATGGAGGCAACCAAGCTCTTACCTGTCATAGCTGTTCAGCTCATCTGTAAATGTGTTCATTCTGGAGGGTCACCCCTCCATACTACCAGTCTGCACGCCCCTGATGTTGCAGCTTCACAGCTGTGCTGGACTTCAGGAAGGAAAATACAAACCAAGATTTTTTTTGTACAAATATACACAATGTAAAAGTAATATTTTTTTACTATTAATATGTATTAATATAAAAATTCAAATTTTTTTCCATATATGCATTTGGTGTCCCTATTTAAACTTCTAGCGCTTTCTCTATGGTCTTCCATTTTTTATCTTCTCAGCAGACTGAATAGGAAATTTTTGTCTATCATGCTGAGAGGTGACTAACTGATTCTTTATGTAGGGGATATTTACTGAACTTTGGGCCTTTTGTGTTGCTGCCATAAATTAGAGACTTTTTTCACTCTCTGTTACTGAGTAGTAGCTCTTTAATATGTAGTCCAGGGAGTGTCCTTGGAAATGTGAAGTCATATCAGGCAAATATTATTGTATGAATCCTTTTATAGTCTTACGCTGCAGTTCATCTGCAGAATTGTTTCTCAATCTAAAGTCTCTGTGGTTTTAGATACTAAGTCTTCTGGAGGTTGTGCCACAGAGGTTGGTAGGGATCTAAAGAAAACTCAACTAAAACTCACTGAATGTTTTTTTAATCTGTAGTACAAGTATAAGGAAGGCTATCGCAAGCAGCTTGGCCACCACATCGGGGCCCGTAACATAGAGGATGACCCCAAGATGTTGTGGTCGATGCACGGAGCCAAGATCCAGAGTGACGGAGAGTACAAGAAAGCCTTTGAGAAGACCAAGACCCACTTCAGTAGCCCAGTGGACATGCTGGGCATTGTGTTGGCCAAGAAATGTCAGGAGTTGGTGAGCGACATCGATTACCGCAACTATCTACATGAATGGACTTGCCTGCCAGACCAGAACGATGTTATCCATGCTAGGAAGGCCTATGATCTACAGAGTGATGTGAGTACTTGCTGATAAGTGTTTGAGTTCCAAAGTGTGTGCAATTTCCTTGGCATATAAACTACAAACGCTGCTTGAACTCTCTCTCCCATATAGTGTTTTTTCACATTGTGTTTTTCTTTACCTGTTCCAAGCAAGGTCATAAGATCTTTAGGAATGAATGAGTTTGTGTATATGGAAGGTTGAGTATTATCAAATTCTATATATAGCTCATCAGTTAGCCAAATAGTAGAACTAGCTGCATACATGCCCGCATAGTAGACAGTCTTAATAAGTTTATGTGCCACTTAATTGCAATTAAAGAGGAAATGCATAGTGTGACAACTGCTTTTAGTTGCGTGAATTTAGTGGGGATAATCCCTTTGTTCTATGCTGGAGAAAATGGTTTGAATTAAGATCTGCTCTTCTTCATGGCTGACCATTTATTTATTGGGAATAAATGTTACAGGAAATGTTTATACTGACTTCCAGGGCTTTGTTTTAATCCCATTATTCTTTGACCGTTCCCCATCATATTGTTGGGTGAATGATACCTCTTGAATACAGATATGGGGTCTGAATCTAGGTTGCTAACAGAGATTGTTTTGTGGATGTAGCTAGGAGGAAGGCAATTTACAGAAAGTAAGCATTAGTTGCATGGTATATATACTTTTTTTAACTGGCAATATTAATGAGACTGCTCTCTGTATTTTGTAATAGAACTGCTACAAGTCTGACCTTGAATGGTTACGAGGCATTGGTTGGGTCCCGATTGGTTCCTTGGAAGTTGAAAAAGCCAAGAAGGCAGGAGAGATCTTGAGTGATAAAATATACCGCCAGCATCCAGACACAATCAAGTTTACTAGTGTCACCGATTCTCTGGAGATGGTCTTGGCCAAGCACAACGCAGAGACAATGAATAAGGTGAGTCTTGGTTGGATGAGGCAACACCTCAGCAGTCTCTGCCTAAACCCTGGAGACAGCACTAGAAATACAGATGTGTGGCTGCTGTGTGAGACTCCAGCACAGTGAGGCTTTAAAAGTGTAAGTTCCATTCTTGTTAACCATCAGGTGATTTATTTGCAGCAAGTTCTAATTTAATAATATCTACCAAGTTAAATTGGAATTATCGGTTGTGAAGCTTTCCATATACTCTACTGAATATCTAGTAATGTGTTACCTAACTTTCATCTAATTTTTAATATAGCAATTTGTCTAATAAATCTAAAATTTATCAAGTTTATCTAGTAATCTAGTAATTAATAAGCTACTTGTTTTAGGGCAGTCTCTGAAATAACCATATTTTAAACAATTCAGTGTAATCCTTAGAATATAAGAGTTTTCTGAATCTGTGGCCCTGTTTTCAATTCTATTGATGCCAATAAACCAACTTCCTCTTTCAAATAGGCCTTGGTCTTAGAGTTTAGATTTCTGTATGTCTGATTAGCATTCTGTGCATTTTTGTAAACTTTTTTTTTAATAGAATTCTTTGTAGGTGACTAATTCTTAACCTGGACATTAAGTATCTAGAGGAGTAAATATAAAATCTCATTGCTATATAAAGAATAAGGATTTTTTGGAATGATCTTGGAGTAGAGATCTGTAGTTCTTATGTTTTAGGAGATCAAGTAATCACTGCTTTTTTTCCCCCTTTAACATATGTTATTTCTCCTGCAGCGTTTATATACTGAGGCCTGGGATAAAGACAAGACACAAATCCACATAATGCCTGACACACCTGAGATCACACTGGCGAAACAAAACATGCAAAACTACAGTGTGGTGAGTGTGCTAGTTCTCCACATGTAACTGCTCTGGTTCATGGCTGGATCATCAGTATTCTGATAAACCTTATATAGATGATACCGTCAGTTTCTTCAAGTAACTCCCAATATTTATTCTCAAAATTGTGACTTTAAAAACATTGTTTGTGTATTTGTACAGTAGTTCATTCATACATCAGTGAGCGCTATAGAGAATAAATTCCATGGTAAGTTGTGTGTCTCCAGTGAATTTTTAAGAGTCATTTTTGCCAGCATGCATACCATTGGGAAGCTGCAAAATTAATTCTAACATTGGCAATACCAAAAAAGTAATTTCCAGCACAATTCTGAGGAGCGGGGATCCCAGTGTTCAATGTTAGTTTAGGCAAATAAACTCACATCAGTAAGAGGTGGCTTCAAAAAGTAGGTTTTACTCCACTTATATAGAACAATAGTTATCTCTAAATTTGTAGTCAATGTTATGTTATTTAAAGTATTGAGAGAAAAAAATTGTTAGCTAGTGTATTTAGTAAAGAACTTCCTTTGATATGAATTTTTATGAGCTACTGATCTGGGGCTTTGAGTTAAGAAAGTTAGATAAAGCTGGGTTAGAATAAATCTTAAATTTTTAAAGTCTACTCAGAAGCAGTTTGTTTTGCATAGCATGTCATATATGGAACTTACTGACATGAGTCCCATTCTTTAATTCTTCACCTAGAAACTCTACAAACAGGCCATGGAAGAAGACAAAAAGAAAGGCTATGATTTGAGAAGTGACGCTATCCCCATCCAGGCTGCCAAAGCCTCCCGGCAAATTGCCAGTGATGTAAGAAACTACTTCTTTCTGTCTTTGTGTGTTGACATCTGATCTCTGAAACCTGAAGGTTCTCAACTCGATTCTGTAAAAGGCATTTCAGTTAAGCTGCGATCTCAAATAACGGATTTTTGGAAGCAAATTAACTATATATGTTTAAATACATAATTGTAAAAAATAAATGTTGAGAAGTTATAAGGAAAATATAATGCTGCTATCACATTAATTTTGTAGTTCATAAACCTTTACTTTTACTGAAGTATTATCAGTATGTATATTATACATACATAGGCCTAATATATATTTAATAAGGCGAGGGTTATTTCTCACTAATATTAGTGAAGAAAGTTTTTTCAAAAAGACTTAAAAATCTCTATGGTTCTAACTCAAATCTCAAAAATTCAATCCGTGTCATTAGCTCCAGAACTGCTTTGACAGTTTGGTATTTTTGACTGTAGGTTATAGAGAAATTGTGAGTGTTTATTCTTATAAGTACTTAATATGAGTTAGTGATATTTAGAGGTAATATAGAAATACAATATATTGATTTACATTTCAGTACAAATACAAAGAAGGCTATCGCAAGCAGCTTGGCCACCACATCGGGGCCCGTAACATAGAGGATGACCCCAAGATGATGTGGTCGATGCACGTAGCCAAGATCCAGAGTGACCGAGAGTACAAGAAAGCCTTTGAGAAGTCCAAGACCCACTTCAGTAGCCCAGTGGACATGCTGGGCATTGTGTTGGCCAAGAAATGTCAAGGGTTGGTTAGCGACATCGATTACCGCCACTATCTTCACCAGTGGATCTGCCTGCCGGACCAGAACGATGTTATCCATGCTAGGAAGGCCTATGATCTACAGAGTGATGTGAGTTCTTTTTGATTTAATTTCTGGTGAGGAATGTATTTGATTTGTATGTATTTTTACATAGATGGACCAGGCAATCATGTAACAATATGGTAGATCCTGAGTGACAAGAAGTATCGGCAGCACCCGGACACCATCAAGTTCACGAGCCTCCCTGACTCCATGCCGATGCTTTTGGCAAAGCACAACTCTGAGATTATGAACCAGGTGAGATGTCCTTGCGTTTGCCACCTGAAGGAAACAGCTGCCTTCCTTTCCTAAGACATTGATGTTCCTTGAGCTACTTTGCTCATGGAGTTTGTTGGCTGTTCTTGCATTGTCTCATTTCACATTGTACTAATTTTTTCAGCGCTCATACGTAGAAGCATGGGAGAAGGATAAAACCAGCATCCACATTATGCCAGACACCCCTGGTATTTTGCTGGCCCAGCAGAACAGAGTGAACTTCAGTGAGGTAGGTGTTTGAAGTGGGGTTAAGCAACTGTCCCTGGATGCTGCTATGGTCCAGGAAGAAGTGTAGTTTGATTGGAATGCTTGTTGTTTTTCCTTCAGAAACTGTACAAGCTTGCCATGGAGGAAGATAAGAAGAAAGGCTACGACATGCGGGCAGATGCCATTCCAATCAAGTCTGCTAAAGCTTCCAGAGATATTGCAAGTGATGTGAGTGGACAGGAGCCCTTGGTGGCAGAGTGTGTTGGATGCTTTCCAGGTGCTTGCTGCTGAAACCCAGTGTTTGGAACCTCAGCCCAATGGAGGCAACCAAGCTCTTACCTGTCATAGCTGTTCAGCTCATCTGTAAATGTGTTCCTTCTGGAGGGTCACCCCTCCATACTACCAGTCTGCACGCCCCTGATGTTGCAGCTTCACAGCTGTGCTGGACTTCAGGAAGGAAAATACAAACCAAGATTTTTTTTGTACAAATATACACAATGTAAAAGTAATATTTTTTTACTATTAATATGTATTAATATAAAAATTCAAATTTTTTTCCATATATGCATTTGGTGTCCCTATTTAAACTTCTAGCGCTTTCTCTATGGTCTTCCATTTTTTATCTTCTCAGCAGACTGAATAGGAAATTTTTGTCTATCATGCTGAGAGGTGACTAACTGATTCTTTATGTAGGGGATATTTACTGAACTTTGGGCCTTTTGTGTTGCTGCCATAAATTAGAGACTTTTTTCACTCTCTGTTACTGAGTAGTAGCTCTTTAATATGTAGTCCAGGGAGTGTCCTTGGAAATGTGAAGTCATATCAGGCAAATATTATTGTATGAATCCTTTTATAGTCTTACGCTGCAGTTCATCTGCAGAATTGTTTCTCAATCTAAAGTCTCTGTGGTTTTAGATACTAAGTCTTCTGGAGGTTGTGCCACAGAGGTTGGTAGGGATCTAAAGAAAACTCAACTAAAACTCACTGAATGTTTTTTTAATCTGTAGTACAAGTATAAGGAAGGCTATCGCAAGCAGCTTGGCCACCACATCGGGGCCCGTAACATAGAGGATGACCCCAAGATGTTGTGGTCGATGCACGTAGCCAAGATCCAGAGTGACAGAGAGTACAAGAAAGCCTTTGAGAAGACCAAGACCCACTTCAGTAGCCCAGTGGACATGCTGGGCATTGTGTTGGCCAAGAAATGTCAGGAGTTGGTGAGCGACATCGATTACCGCAACTATCTACATGAATGGACTTGCCTGCCAGACCAGAACGATGTTATCCATGCTAGGAAGGCCTATGATCTACAGAGTGATGTGAGTACTTGCTGATAAGTGTTTGAGTTCCAAAGTGTGTGCAATTTCCTTGGCATATAAACTACAAACGCTGCTTGAACTCTCTCTCCCATATAGTGTTTTTTCACATTGTGTTTTTCTTTACCTGTTCCAAGCAAGGTCATAAGATCTTTAGGAATGAATGAGTTTGTGTATATGGAAGGTTGAGTATTATCAAATTCTATATATAGCTCATCAGTTAGCCAAATAGTAGAACTAGCTGCATACATGCCCGCATAGTAGACAGTCTTAATAAGTTTATGTGCCACTTAATTGCAATTAAAGAGGAAATGCATAGTGTGACAACTGCTTTTAGTTGCGTGAATTTAGTGGGGATAATCCCTTTGTTCTATGCTGGAGAAAATGGTTTGAATTAAGATCTGCTCTTCTTCATGGCTGACCATTTATTTATTGGGAATAAATGTTACAGGAAATGTTTATACTGACTTCCAGGGCTTTGTTTTAATCCCATTATTCTTTGACCGTTCCCCATCATATTGTTGGGTGAATGATACCTCTTGAATACAGATATGGGGTCTGAATCTAGGTTGCTAACAGAGATTGTTTTGTGGATGTAGCTAGGAGGAAGGCAATTTACAGAAAGTAAGCATTAGTTGCATGGTATATATACTTTTTTTAACTGGCAATATTAATGAGACTGCTCTCTGTATTTTGTAATAGAACTGCTACAAGTCTGACCTTGAATGGTTACGAGGCATTGGTTGGGTCCCGATTGGTTCCTTGGATGTTGAAAAGGCCAAGAAGGCAGGAGAGATCTTGAGTGATAAAATATACCGCCAGCATCCAGACACGATCAAGTTTACTAGTGTCGCTGATTCTCTGGAGATGGTCTTGGCCAAGCACAACGCAGAGACAATGAATAAGGTGAGTCTTGGTTGGATGAGGCAACACCTCAGCAGTCTCTGCCTAAACCCTGGAGACAGCACTAGAAATACAGATGTGTGGCTGCTGTGTGAGACTCCAGCACAGTGAGGCTTTAAAAGTGTAAGTTCCATTCTTGTTAACCATCAGGTGATTTATTTGCAGCAAGTTCTAATTTAATAATATCTACCAAGTTAAATTGGAATTATCGGTTGTGAAGCTTTCCATATACTCTACTGAATATCTAGTAATGTGTTACCTAACTTTCATCTAATTTTTAATATAGCAATTTGTCTAATAAATCTAAAATTTATCAAGTTTATCTAGTAATCTAGTAATTAATAAGCTACTTGTTTTAGGGCAGTCTCTGAAATAACCATATTTTAAACAATTCAGTGTAATCCTTAGAATATAAGAGTTTTCTGAATCTGTGGCCCTGTTTTCAATTCTATTGATGCCAATAAACCAATTTCCTCTTTCAAACAGGCCTTGTTCTTAGAGTTTAGATTTCTGTGTATCTGATTAGCATTCTGTGAATTTTTCTAAACTTCTTTTTTTAATAGAATTCTTTGTAGGTGACTAATTCTTAACCTGGACATTAAGTATCTAGAGGAGTAAATATAAAATCTCATTGCTATATAAGGAATAAGGATTTTTTAGACTGATCTTGGAGTAGAGATCTGTAGTTCTTATGTTCCAGGAGATCAAGTAGTCACTGCTTTTTTTCCCCTTTAACATATGTTATTTCTCCTGCAGCGTTTATATACTGAGGCCTGGGATAAAGACAAGACACAAATCCACATAATGCCTGACACACCTGAGATCACACTGGCGAAACAAAACATGCAAAACTACAGTGTGGTGAGTGTGCTAGTTCTCCACATGTAACTGCTCTGGTTCATGGCTGGATCATCAGTATTCTGATAAACCTTATATAGATGATACCGTCAGTTTCTTCAAGTAACTCCCAATATTTATTCTCAAAATTGTGACTTTAAAAACATTGTTTGTGTATTTGTACAGTAGTTCATTCATACATCAGTGAGCGCTATAGAGAATAAATTCCATGGTAAGTTGTGTGTCTCCAGTGAATTTTTAAGAGTCATTTTTGCCAGCATGCATACCATTGGGAAGCGAGAATAAATTCCATGGTAAGTTGTGTGTCTTCAGTGAATTTTTAAGAGTCATTTTTGCAGTGTGCATACTGTTGGGAAGTTGCAAAATTAATTCTAACATTGGCAATACCAAAAAAGTAATTTCCAGTACAATTCTGAGGAGCGGGGACCCCAGTGTTCAATGTTAGTTTAGGCAAATAAACTCACATCAGTAAGAGGTGGCTTCAAAAAGTAGGTTTTACTCCACTTATATAGAACAATAGTTATCTCTAAATTTGTAGTCAATGTTATGTTATTTAAAGTATTGAGAGAAAAAAATTGTTAGCTAGTGTATTTAGTAAAGAACTTCCTTTGATATGAATTTTTATGAGCTACTGATCTGGGGCTTTGAGTTAAGAAAGTTAGATAAAGCTGGGTTAGAATAAATCTTAAATTTTTAAAGTCTACTCAGAAGCAGTTTGTTTTGCATAGCATGTAATATATGGAACTTACTGACATGAGTCCCATTCTTTAATTCTTCACCTAGAAACTCTACAAACAGGCCATGGAAGAAGACAAAAAGAAAGGCTATGATTTGAGAAGTGACGCTATCCCCATCCAGGCTGCCAAAGCCTCCCGGCAAATTGCCAGTGATGTAAGAAACTACTTCTTTCTGTCTTTGTGTGTTGACATCTGATCTCTGAAACCTGAAGGTTCTCAACTCGATTCTGTAAAAGGCATTTCAGTTAAGCTGTGATCTCAAATAACGGATTTTTGGAAGCAAATTAACTATATATGTTTAAATACATAATTGTAAAAAATAAATGTTGAGAAGTTATAAGGACAATATAATGCTGCTATCGTGTTAATTTTGTAGTTCATAAACCTTTACCTTTACTTAAGTATTATCAGTATGTATATTATTATATTTAATAAGGACTAAATATATTTAATAAGGTGTAAAAAATAAATGTTGAGAAGTTATAAGGAAAATATAATGCTGCTATCACATTAATTTTGTAGTTCATAAACCTTTACTTTTACTGAAGTATTATCAGTATGTATATTATACATACATAGGCCTAATATATATTTAATAAGGCATAATGCTGCTATCGTGTTAATTTTGTAGTTCATAAACCTTTACCTTTACTTAAGTATTATCAGTATGTATATTATTATATTTAATAAGGACTAAATATATTTAATAAGGTGAGGGTTATTTCTCACTAATATTAGTGAAGAAAGTTTTTTCAAAAAGACTTAAAAATCTCTATGGTTCTAACTCAAATCTCAAAAATTCAATCCGTGCCATTAGCTCCAGAACTGCTTTGACAGTTTGGTATTTTTGACTGTAGGTTATAGAGAAATTGTGAGTGTTTATTCTTATAAGTACTTAATATGAGTTAGTGATATTTAGAGGTAATATAGAAATACAATATATTGATTTACATTTCAGTACAAATACAAAGAAGGCTATCGCAAGCAGCTTGGCCACCACATCGGGGCCCGTAACATAGAGGATGACCCCAAGATGATGTGGTCGATGCACGTAGCCAAGATCCAGAGTGACAGAGAGTACAAGAAAGCCTTTGAGAAGACCAAGACCCACTTCAGTAGCCCAGTGGACATGCTGGGCATTGTGTTGGCCAAGAAATGTCAAGGGTTGGTGAGCGACATCGATTACCGCCACTATCTTCACCAGTGGATCTGCCTGCCGGACCAGAACGATGTTATCCATGCTAGGAAGGCCTATGATCTACAGAGTGATGTGAGTTCTTTTTGATTTAATTTCTGGTGAGGAATGTATTTGATTTGTATGTATTTTTACATAGATGGACCAGGCAATCATGTAACAATATGGTAGAACCAAATTTTCACATCTTATTTTTCAGTTTTATGGCTAATTGAAACTCAGATCTCCAATAGGATAAGTTATCTAATTGATATTTAATTAAATTCTGTAATTCCCAAATGTGGGCTATTTGTTATTTGCCATTTAGTGAAACTTGGATGATGTTTTCTCTTTTAATGTAGAACAAATGCAGTTATTTCTTCTGAGAATTTCTCTTGGGTTTTGAATTTATTTGAATGAAAAATTGAGAGGGAGGTCACTTAACCGTGAAAAGATGCACTGTGTAAATTGCATTATTACTGCTAAAATAACCTGTGTGGTTTTTTGTAATAGAACTGCTACAAGTCTGACCTTGAATGGTTACGAGGCATTGGTTGGGTCCCGATTGGTTCCTTGGAAGTTGAAAAAGCCAAGAAGGCAGGAGAGATCTTGAGTGATAAAATATACCGCCAGCATCCAGACACAATCAAGTTTACTAGTGTCACCGATTCTCTGGAGATGGTCTTGGCCAAGCACAACGCAGAGACAATGAATAAGGTGAGTCTTGGTTGGATGAGGCAACACCTCAGCAGTCTCCATCTAAACCCTGGAGACAGCACTAGAACTATAGTGATCACAAGTAAGTTCAGAGATAATGTATTTTCAAATAGTGAGCTCCATTTGTTTTAATCAATACAATTAGACCATGTAATAGAAGACTCAGCTTTGTCATGATATTCTGCACATTACATTTTAATATTTTATTTGACATGTCTGTCCACTGAGCAGATAGAAGACTCAACATTGTCATGATATTCTGCACATTACATTTTAACCTTTTATTTGACATCTCTGTGCACTGAGCAATAATAATGCTTTGGTTTATTCATTGTCCTGAGGAATGTGGCAATTTTCTTTGTTGCTATATTTCCTCAGATAAATTATCTTTTTAATAATGGTATCTCTACCTGACTAAATAGATAACCATTTATCCATGCTGAATTTCCTGTAATTTTACCTAGTATCCTCTACATTCTACCTGAATAATGAGGTATTAACTTGTTTTTTAATGCAATATTAATTTCTTCTTATATTCTTTTGTAGCGTTTATACACTGAAGCATGGAATAAAGATAAGACCATGGTTCATGTGATGCCTGACACACCAGAAATCATGTTAGCAAAGCAAAACCAATTAAACTACAGTCAGGTGAGTAAGAGTGAAGAGTTAAGAGAGTTAAAGGATTTCTGACAAGTACAATTTTGTCATCTCTGCCTTTTAATTAATCTTATTTTATTGTCGAGTTGTTTAGTTTCACAATTTGCCAGCTCCACTGCTAAAGTCAGAGTTGTTCTTTTGCTAGAATTTACCTCCTGGGTATGTAAATGGACTTTTAAAATATATTATCTACCATTAACAAGGAATCATTTCTGTAGTAATGTATGGAAGTAAATAATGTAAGTTTTAGAATATTCCTTTCTTTGCCTTCCGTAAATGACTTCCAGTTTCCTGTGTCTAGAGTACAATTACAAGATCTTTGAAATCTGCCGTATTTTATTTTCTAGAGAAGCTAGAGCTGTGTTCAGATATTTAAGTTGTTTGAACATTAACAGTATTGTTTAAGGACTTAATTTATTTTATTACGCAGATCTGCTAACTGAAGTGTGATTCTGTTTTTCAAACAAAAATGTGAATGTTTTCCTTACAGAAAATGTACAAACTGGCTTTGGAGGAATCGAAGAAGAAGGGTCACGATTTGCGTTTTGATGCCATTCCTATTCAAGCTGCCAAAGCATCCAGGGAGATTGCCAGTGATGTAAGCAGGGGTTTTGATCATGTCTGTGTGGAGTTGGGAATGGAAAAGAATCAGAATGTTTGTTCCATTGTTTTTCTGATGTAAGCAGGGGTTTTGATCATGTCTGTTATGGATTTGGGAATGGAAAAGAACCAGAATGTTTGTTCCATTGTTTTTTAATATAATACCTAAAGATTATAGAATAGATAATACTGAAAAGCAGCAATTCTACTGCATGCCTTTAGTACAGGAAGGCAGGGGGTAGCTGCTATTTTTATACGTGAAGTATATATCACATTATTAAATAAATAAATAATATAATATGAGGATTATTTCTATGCCCCCTGTAATAGTTCCAATGATGTCTCTGGATGTTCGAGTAGAATGATCAATTACACGTATGAGTCTATGCTGGAGTTAGTCAATTTAATTCCTAATTCAAAATAGGAGATACTATCAAATCTCTCCCCAAAATAAATATATTAGTAAATCAATCTAAAAATTCTAAATTGTTGCCTTTTCCTAAGGAAAAAATAGTTCTGTTGACGAGTCATAGAAATTTGAGATGTCTGAATACAAAAACAGGGAAAAAATGCAATGACTATGACAGGTTTTGCTGCAGGGTTGAGGAAACATCACTAAGAGACAGAGGAGAACAGCTGTTTTATGCTCCTTCTTTTTCTATCAGAATTGGAAACATCACTAAGAGACAGAGGAGAACAGCGGTTTTATGCTCCTTTTTCTATCAGAATTTGTTTTTAAACTGTTAGTATTCAGACCAACTCAGACTCTTCATCCAGGGGGTTCTATAGTAGGTTTTAAAGTAAGCTAATCTTTACATTTTACTCTTAATATAATAAGAATATAGGATATAAAACTTTTTAGTAAGTATGTGAAATTAAATGTTTAGGTAATTGAAAAGGTGATATATAAAAAACCAAGAGATAATAATATCTCTAATAAAAATCCCTTTTATGTGAAAATTAGTAAAACACTAGAAAGACCTGAATGATACTTTTGTCTAAACAAAATATAAAAAGTTATGTTAAACTGTATTAATTGTTTGTTAATTTAAAAACATACCATGTGAATATGAAAATACTTTGTTTCAGTACAAATACAAAGAAGGCTATCGCAAGCAGCTTGGCCACCACATCGGGGCCCGTAACATAGAGGATGACCCCAAGATGATGTGGTCGATACACGTAGCCAAGATCCAGAGTGACAGAGAGTACAAGAAAGCCTTTGAGAAGACCAAGACCCACTTCAGTAGCCCAGTGGACATGCTGGGCATTGTGTTGGCCAAGAAATGTCAAGGGTTGGTGAGCGACATCGATTACCGCCACTATCTTCACCAGTGGATCTGCCTGCCGGACCAGAATGATGTTATCCATGCTAAGAAGGCCTATGATCTACAGAGTGATGTCAGTAAATTGTTAAATTTATAATACATAAGCAAATATTCTGGGTCTTGTACAATATAATTTTTAAAATATATAATATGCCTTAGACGCTTTCATCATCCATGTTGATAGAGTTTAGATGTCTAATATTCTATCCTTGAAGTTATGTTTAATCCTATTTTCTCAATCCTTAGCTTGAGGTATAATTTGTGTGTAACTGGTGTTTTTGGAGTTTCTTAATAACTCTATACCTTTTGTTACTTAATAGTCATTTTACTAACTCTTCAAAAATAATGATTGTTTTCAAAACCATATCCTGCCACTAAGCGGAAATATTTACACAGTTGTTCACATAAACTTGGATATGCTTATTTATAATTTTGATATTTGATCAGCTTTGCATTCATATAATGAACTGTCACATTTTTTCAGGCCGTTTACAAATCAGACCTGGAATGGCTGAGAGGTATTGGATGGGTTCCCATTGGCTCCGTGGATGTTGAGAAGGCTAAGAAAGCTGGTGAAATCCTGAGTGAAAGGAAGTATCGTCAACCAGCAGACCAAATTAAATTTACTAGTGTGACGGATTCCTTGGCCATGGTCTTAGCCAAGCAAAATGCTGAGATAATGAACAAGGTGAGATTTGTGTTGTTTTGTTTTTTCTCAAAATCACTAGTGCTCTTAGCTCAAGTCTGTGTCTGAACTGAAAACTTAGTACAAAAAAAATTCACCAAAATCACCTATTTTTCAAGAGTAATACTAAAAATGATGGTGAATTTCCCTCTTCTCCCATCCCAGCTGAAATCCTATGTTTAAATACCAGTTTGGTATGTTTTTTTCTATTTTGTTAATGCTACTTCACTATACAACTGACAGAACAGGCTAAATTTTTTTGCAGTTCTTAGACAATACTGTGAAATCCGCAGAAGTGATGTTTCAGCAGGGTGTTAGGTTATGTCCAGCTGTGGTGATGCCATGACCATGCTGTAAGATAGAAAGTAGCAGAATGTTGAGGCTTTTACTGCAGCTGCTGGAGTAATGTATTGTTGACTGAATGTCGTACCCTATGATGAACAAGTTATGAGGAAATAGCTTATGTCCTCTGGAAGTGAAGCTTCTGCAATTTATCTCAGATCTGGAGGATGAAAGTCACAAAGAACCTACTCCTTCTCTTTAATAAGAAACATCAATCAAACAACTCATACACATACAGCAGAATAAGGAATATAGTTTTCCTCCCACAGCAATCCTAAATCAATCGATTGCTGTGCCAACTTAGCCTGAGAAATAATGAGGAAGGACAAAGTTTCCTTTCCTGAGCTGTTCAGTGAGAAGCTTTGCCATGTCAGGGTGTTTAAAGCTTGCTTTAACTACCCCTTGCTGTTTGTAAAATACTTTCTTTGGACAAATGTATTAGTTTCATTATATGTATTTTGCTCTGCTTCAAGATTACTTTTCTTTTTTATCCTGGATATATTTTTATTGACTACTGCTTTGAAATTTTCAGTCTTTTTGTCATCACATATATAAAGAAACTTTTAAAAGGATGTGTTTTCCTCTCTCCTAGCGTTTGTACACGGAAGCCTGGGAAGCAGACAAAAAGTCCATTCACGTCATGCCTGACACACCAACAATTTTGCTGGCGAAGGCCAACGCAGCTAATGTTAGCCATGTAAGAACATTTAAATATGTACTAAAGTAATGCAAATTCAGAAATTAAGTAAGCATTTCTTTAAACATAAAGAACTTCTAAAATATGCATTCATGAAAATTTTAAGAAATAATTATGAAATGTAGAAATTCCATCTTTCAGAATATTGAGAAGCCATCTTCTGTCTTCTTTTGTGTAGAAACTTTATGTACAAGCCTGGGAAGAGGCCAAAAAGAAGGGTTACGACATGAGAGCTGATGCGATCCCAATCCAAAGTGCAAAGGCATCAAGAGATATTGCGAGTGATGTATGTTCCTCCTTTACATTTATTTTTCAGTTAGCCTGAGAAACAAGAAGAAAGTAATAAGCTATTAACTTAAAATACCACAGTGTTTCAGATTCAACTTGAAAGCCTTTTCAGAGAGAAAATGGGCAACAGTTTCCAAAGGGAACGTTGAATTTCAAATCCTGACATTAAGTGTATATTAGAAAATAATAAACTACAATGAAAATAAACAAAGGCCATGGGGCAAGAATGCATTAGGCATTTCTAAACTCTACATGAGTATATTTCATAACATAAAAATATATATTCATGATCAGTAGCAATTTGAAATTATGGGAAATTCACCTCACATTCACTATTTCTTTTAATAATTCTTTTTGCATTCACTAGTACAAGTACAAACAAGCACATGAGAAGCAGAAAGGCCACTACATCGGGTGCCGAACTGCCCAGGAGGACCCCAAGCTGTCGTGGGCCGCGCGGGCCATGGCGCTGCAGAACGACCGCATTTACCGGAAGGCCTACCATGATTCGAAGGCCCAGGTCCACATCCCGGTGGACGCGATATCCGTGCAGGCAGCCAAGGAGTGCCAGACACTGGTCAGTGACATTGACTATCGCCAGTACCTCCACCAGTGGACCTGTCTGCCCGACCAGAATGACGTGATCCATGCAAGGAAGGCCTACGACCTACAGAGTGATGTGAGTGAGAGTAACTGTAGAAAAGCTTTATGGCAGGCGTATGAGGCTCTGGTTGTTGGTGACTGTGCAAATATTTTTTTTCAAACGCACGTTCGTGAGTCGGCAGTCAGTCCTGGTATGTATATTTTAATTCATTTGGATGGTCCCTTCCAAATCAGTAGTGTTCTCAGCTTGGGGGCCAAAAGTATTCCAGGCAGTTCATAAGGAAGAGATGTTTTTTTGTTCTGCTGTGTTTGTTTGCAGTTTGCTTGCTGATGGCTTGTAGATTATCACGGAATTACAGAATCACAGAATGATAGGGGTTGGAAGGGACCTCTGGAGATCATCTGGTCCAACCCCCCTGCCAGAGCAGGGTCACCCAGAGCAGGTTGGAAAGGAATGTGTCCAGGCAGGTTTTGAATGCCTCCAGAAATGGAGACTCCACCACCTCTCTGGGCAGCCTCTTCCAGGGCTCTGGCACGCTCAAATAAAGAACTTCCTCCTCATGTTTAGGTGGAACTTCTTGTGTTCAAGTTTATGCCGCTGGTTTGCATGTAGCAAGTGTCTTTAAAAGTATCTTTGTTGCAGTGTAAAATAGGGGTTTAGTTGTGTGTGGGAAGGCCCTGGAACACCACAGTCTCATTGACTGCTTGTCGTGTAACTGTGTGAGAAGGAGCTTGGGGAAAGTCTTGGACAAAACCTGTCTACATGTAGAGTTGTCTCTGCACTGTTGTCAATAATCCTTGATTTGTTTGTAGAACGTGTACAAGTCAGACCTGGAGTGGTTGCGAGGCATCGGCTGGTTGACAGAAGGTTCTGTGGATGTGGTCAAAGCAAAGAAAGCCCAGGAGCTCCTGAACGAGAGGCTGTACCGCACGCGACCGGACGAGATGAAGTTCACCAGCATTACTGACGCGCCAGACGTTGTCCAGGCCAAGATCAATGCTCTGCAGATGAGTGACGTAAGCTTATCTTTCCTTTACTTTTCATTTGTGTGGTGGCATTTCTTTTCTTTGTGGTGGAGAGTAGAATTTCTGCCATGGGAATGACTAGTTGGAAACTACTTCAATCAGAATTAGCAAAGAATTCCCGTTGGTGGGTTTTTTTTCCATGTTCAGACCATAGTAAAATGTCCTTGTGCTTCCTTTCTCCTTAGCGTCTGTACCATGAAGCCTGGGATAAAGATAAGACACAGATTTCCATACCTTCGGATACTCCTGTCATGCTGCAGTCCAAAGTCAATGCTATCAACATCAGCAACGTAAGAGAACAACGTCATTATGCTTGTGAAGCACTACAAAATTAAGAACATAACAACTGCTCTTCCAGAGTAGGTTTCAAAAAAAGACATTGGTGTCAGAGAGTCTTGACTGCATGTAACAAAGGTGATTGATTTTCTTTGCAGAAACATTATCAGAAGGCCTGGGATGAGGCAAAGGCGAAAAGCTATGACATAAGAGCTGATGCCATTTCCATCAAACACGCCAAGGCTTCCAGAGACATTGCTAGTGAGGTACAGTCTCCTCTTCATGTGGTTGCTCCATCTATCTCTTCCCGTGTCCAGCTCAGCAGAACTGAGTGAAGTTCAGTTCGAAGGGCTGCCAACTTGAGAAACCGAAAGCCTTTTGTTCGTTAGTCGTGTTCAGGTGAGAAATATGTGGCTACTTACATTATTCCTTCATTCCTTAGTACAAGTACAAAGAAACACACGAGAAGCAGAAAGGCCACTACATCGGGTGCCGAACTGCCCAGGAGGACCCCAAGCTGTCGTGGGCCGCGCGGGCCATGGCGCTGCAGAACGACCGCATTTACCGGAAGGCCTACCATGATTCGAAGGCCCAGGTCCACATCCCGGTGGACGCGATATCCGTGCAGGCAGCCAAGGAGTGCCAGACACTGGTCAGTGACATTGACTATCGCCAGTACCTCCACCAGTGGACCTGTCTGCCCGACCAGAATGACGTGATCCATGCAAGGAAGGCCTACGACCTACAGAGTGATGTGCGTATGAGTAGAGATGGGGTAGTTAATACTGTTGCTATTTAATATCTTATAGCCTTATTCTGATGGTTTGATATTATACAGTCACAAAAAATTTATCTTTAGACTGTTTTATTCAGTTTTTCATGTTACTGCTGTTATCTGCTCTTTTTATCCTTTAAAAAGTATCAGTATTACCTCTGAATTTTATAAAACCTTTTGTTATTAACTGCTATGTTACACATGCGTTTGGAGTACTGTCACTTGGAGAGGGGGAAGGATTTCTCTCTATTACTTTGATGGGGCTTATGAAATAACATGTTTAGTACTTTGGAATCAGGTGGCTTTTATTATGTTTATCTGAGTCAAATTGGAAATTGATTTAACTGAAAGAAAACTGTGTAAGGTAGCAGGTAAGATGTTTTAGTGGCTGATTTCAAAGCGGGAGTCAGTGCAGCTGATTTCCTGAGTTGGCTTTGCTGCTTATCAGTCAGTCACTCTTCCTCTGTTTCAGTTATGAGCTTTGGAAGTGACATTCACACACCTTGCTGAAGGATTTGCCCTTCTCAACTTAAATAATGTTGCTTGACACTACTTCAGGAGTTACACTAGTTTGCTCTACTCCCCGTTATGTATAAAAACCTCTTTTTTGGTTCTTTTTGTCAAATTCCCTGGTGGGTAGCTTGATTTTTTTATTTGGACTTGCAAATTGTTGAAGTGACTAGGAGAATAAGCATTTTGGGGGGGACAGGAAAACTCTTTTAAGATCTTAATGCTCATCATCATTAACAGCAATTCTGTGCAGTTGTTTCCCCTCTATTTAACTGCATAAGATTTAGAAGATATTGTTTAAGAAATTAACTACTTAAAACCTGGTTCCCAGATTGTATTTTATTTCTGACACTGATCATCTCTTGTATATAAAAAGGATTAATCTATCTGTAGCCGATTTGACTTTTTCTAAAACATAAACTGCTTTGTACACTTAACATAATTAAGACAGGCATTTTAAACACTATGTTTTCCTGTCTGGTACAGGCTGTCTATAAGTCAGACCTGGAGTGGCTCCGTGGAATTGGCTGGTTGCCGAATGACTCTCCAGAAGTCAAGAGAGTGAAGCAAGCCCAGGATCTCCTGAGCAACAATGTGTATCGAACACCTATTGATAGCCTGAAATACACCAGCATTGTTGATTCTCCAGACGTTGTTCTGGCCAAAGTGAATGCCGAGCAAGTCAGCATTGTACGTTACCTTGTTCTTAAAGTTGTTTTGAGGCTATAAAGGGTTAAAGAGAAACCTCACTGCTAAAATATAAAGTTGATCAGCGGTATTTTAAGTCAAATTTAATGCTTTTCAAGCCATTTTAATTTTTAAACATGATAATTCAAGGGAGAGTTATGGGATTTTATGTTCTTGAGAAGCGAAATTCCATAATTACAGTGTCATCAAATGAATTATTTTAACAGCCAAAATACAAAGAAGCCTGGGAAAAGGACAAGACTATGATTCATATTATGCCAGACACACCTGAAATCAACCTAGCCAAGACTAATGCTGCTAATTATAGCCAGGTATGTTTATCATCTTATTTTCTACATTTCTATAAAATAGTATGTGTATCCTGTGAATTTTAACATTCTAAGACATTACTAATGAAGTTGAAGATTAAGTCACATGAATCTCATTGAAGTTTGTCTTCATATGGGGTGTGCAACTTTCCCTTCCCTCTGCTTTGTGTCCTTAAAGTATTTAGACATTTTAAGATAAATGCTTGCATATAATGGTTTAAAAATTACTAATATTATGCCTCATTGAGATAATATTTTGTTGAAATTGACGAAAGCCCACAGCATATAAATATTTTCTAATCTTTTACAAATTCCATTCTGTGCAGTAGAGGTTGCAAAACTGGTGTTGCAGGCACATGTTTGAGGGGTGGTAATATTTGCAGTAGTATTTATGGCTAGGAGCTGGAGTAATACACAAATAATCCTCACAGTATTTCAGCAAACAAATGGCAGTAAACTATGTGTGTCTTTAATGGCAAAGGCCAGAGTATATACCATGTGTGTGACATTTTGTTATCTTTTCAGAAACTGTATAAAGAAGCTTGGGATGAGCTGAAGATGAGTTACGATTTGAGAGCAGATGCAATCCCAATCAAGGCAGCCAAAGCTTCCAGAGAAATTGCTAGTGATGTAAGTGCCAAAAGAGGCATCGAGCTCTTCATGTGGTTTAAGAGCTATTTCACGGTAACTGTTCTTAATGGTGATCTTTGCTCTTTACCCAGTATAAATACAAACTGGAACATGAGAAGCAGAAAGGGCATTATGTTGGAGTTCCAAATGCAAAAGAAGATACGAGAATGCAGTTTGCCCTGGGCATAGGCAAAGTTCAGAGCGAGCTAGAATACAAGAAACACTTTGCCAAGTGGAAGACGCAGTGCCACCTACCAGTAGACATGCTGTCTATCCAGTCAGCCAAACATGGTCAGTCCTTGGTCAGTGATGTTGATTACCGTCAATACCTACATCAGTGGATCTGTCTTCCAGATCAGAATGATGTCATACACGCTAGGAAAGCCTACGATCTTCAGAGCGATGTAAGTTAACGTGAAAACTTATCAACTTATCAAGTATTGTCTCTTCTTAGTCTGCTTGAGCTCTAACTAGTGGGAATCTCTGCTGAATTCAGTTAATTGGCTTTGGTGTTTATTAGGAATGTGTAAGTATATGCCACTTTTATACATTGCCAAGTTTGAAGTGTGATAAATTCAGATATAATACTCGTGTTGAAATTACCGCTCTCCTTTTAACCAGTGGAAGTAAGTGCTGCTATTTATGGATCTTGCTGGATTGTACAGGAAAGTGTAACTAACAGCATGGACCCTCTTTTGTTTCCCCAGGCTGTCTATAAATCTGATTTGGAATGGCTACGGGGGATTGGATGGTTGCCAAACGACTCTGTTGGAATCAACCATGTCAAATATGCTGGAGATATCTTGAGTGAGGTAACAAAATGTGTTTCCATACTAAAATTTTCTTAAGGGTATTCGTAAATTAAAGTATTTTTTAATGGTTGGATACATCAATATTTTTTAAAATAAAAAATACACCTTGAGTATTTCAACAGCATTCATGGAGAGATTTTCTTCCCATGTTAACTTTTTTTGTCTTGGCTGTGTATTCAGAATTGCTGTGTTAGAGATAAAATATCCCTGTATGATCTGACTGTTCATCTTTTTTCTTGTATAGAAAAAATACCGTACAAAAGCCGAAGCTCTTCCATTTACTCCAGTGGCGGACAGAGTTGATTATATCACAGCAAAGAATAGCAGTGAAATTCTTAGTGATGTAAGTTTGCTGGAGTGTTTCTGGACTGCTACCTTGGTCTGTATATTTACGTGGTAGGATTTTATCTTGAGAATGATATCTAGTTTATCTTAAAAAAAAAAAAAAAAAGGAAAATAATTCTTGGTCAGTCTCTGTGAATGTATGACATACAGATGAACAGGACTTCACCAGCTCATCTCCATCACTTAGGAGGGAAGAAGCTCCTCAAGCAGAATAGAATCTTTCCTACACACTTGAAAATCCAGTGTTAGTTCTGCAACTGGGCCCTTCTTTCAGTCTTGGCTGAAATAATTTGTGATCATTGACAGCATGAACCTAAACACTTGGACTCTATTGTCTGGGTCTATCTATTGTCCTGGTTCACACACTTCTACCTTGGTTGTTGGCCATACATCCCTGTAGACCAAAGAAGTGGCATAACTTTGACTTCTGAATATTCTTCCCTATCCATCCAGCTGCCCTGGAACAAATTTTTAAAATTTTCTCTGAGAAACTTTGTCATTTCTTAGTTTTTGTCTACAATTTCCTTTTTTAAAAAATACCCATTTGGATGTATATTTAATGTGTTATGTCTGATAGCCTTGAAAATTCAGGGGTTTATACATTATTTCGTGCATAAAATATGGGTCTTGCTTGTTACTATGTTTTCCCAATTTTGTGATGGTGCTGCAAAGTAGTAATTTCTTTTTCTGTTCTAGATTAAATACCACAAAGCGTGGAACGAGGCCAAGTCAAATTATACTCTAACAGACACCCCACAGCTTGATATGGCCCGGGAGGCAGCCAGAATTCTTAACCAGGTACGAGATCTCTTCTTGGCAGTTTCTACTTATATTAGTAACTCTTTTGAGGAATTTAAAAAACTTACCTTATAAGGAATCTTTCCTTTAAAATGTTCTTAATATGTTAATATAGGTTACATATATACAGCAATAATTTTCATGATAGTAGTGTTGAACTCCTCCTCACTATCATTTTCCACAGAATTTATACAAGGAAGGTTGGGAGAAAGAAAAAGCCACTGGTTACCTCTTGCCTCCTGACACTGTGCAGATCTGTCATGCCAAACGCTCAAGTGAGGTCCAAAGTGAGGTAATAATTTTTCTCATGTCCTCCAGACAATTCAGACATCTTTAATATTGTGGGGCTTACAGATATTAGTGCATAATATAGAAAA